TGGGTAGAAAATTGCCATATCAAATTAATCAAGATTTTTGCCTCTATTCGGTCAAAATGGTGTAAATATCACGAATATTACACGCAGAGTGTTGAAGTTCAGTGGTAGTTGTGTAGAGTATCATATGGTCAGCCCCGTCCGAATACACTGCTCCGCTGTCTCAGTTTTCCTATACCATCATTATTTTTAAAAATGTCACACTTGACATTTTTTGAAACTGCCTAATGTTTGAAAACCAAATTTTAAATTGAAAAAATTATTTAAAATAATCTTTTCTTAAAAATATATTTTTAATTTATTATTTTTCTTTCCAGGTTGTTGTGAATTCAATATGCTCGGTTTTATGTATGATGACAATCGAAAACGATCTACAAAGAAGTTGAAAATATTTCAGGCCAACGCCTATAACGATTATTATATCTTTTGGAATTATCCTGTTCCCTCAATCATAAAATTTTTAAAAAGAGACAAAATAAGTCTTTAAGTTTTTATATACATGTATGTATATAATTTATACAAAGAATATTTAATAAACAAAGCAAAACAAACTAATTTACCAAAAAAAAATATTTTTTATTTATGGATTTAAATGCAGTAAGTATACATACATACAATAAGCCCCTAGGGTGCAACATATCTTTATATGATTTTTCTGCCACCTGGGGACAAATTTCACAAAAATTCCAGGCGCCCAGTATCAAATTTTGGGTATACACAAGCTATTTTCATACTATTCGTATTGAATCCTTCAGCAATATTTGCACCGATTAAGATGCTACGCTGTGTCCGATCGACAGGATATTGAACACATTCAACAAAAATCGTTAATGTGAGCTCAACATATTACGACGTGTAAAGTTTTGATATTTCGTTCGCAGGACCTTTATATGGCCAATATGATGGCTAGATAATTTGAACAAAACAATTAATCAAATCACCATATAAATCATTCCATACATACATAGTATAAACGAACGCTAAATCACAAACTAGAAAGGAAGAAAATAACAATCTCAATTAATCAAAACAACTCATACCAGCATTATAATAAGTCAACGTTTTAAAAATGTTGATACTTAATTTAAGTTCCGCATTCTGCATGTTAGCTATACTAGTACATATGTAGAAGTAACGATGAGGAAGTATTGTAACGCACATATGCCCGAACATAGCATCATGAATCTATTAAAAATATTTACCCTAAATATTTATGCATGAGAGGAATATGTCTAAATAACTACGTCTCCGTTCTCTATTACAATCTACAGTTAACTATTATCCTGGTAAATGACAACAGCAACAGCAACGACAACAACAAACCCAATGACAACGGCAACGACAACAAAATGAACAACAACATAGTGTTGCATTGTTATTCTCTATTCTGTCACATTGTTATAATGTTATGGTGATAAAACTTAAATAAATACCCAAACACACACACACACATCGCACATACACATATATTCGTATCTGTATGGATATGTAAAGTTATTCACTAATTCTTGTCTATAACCACAGACCCTTAGACCAAATAACACAAACTCTTTTACTATTTTCCGGATAGACAGACAAACTATGGTTACAACAACAAGTATGCATGCTGTTGTTATAATTGCTAGTCTATGTGGCATGCCTAGGTGTGTGTGTACTCTCACACAAGGCATGAACTATAAGTGGAGCATGAGTTTTAAATCAAAGCAGCAACACTAGAAAGGCAGCTAAAATTGCTAACAGCACAATTTACCATTATGATAAAATGAAGAAAATAAAAGAAGAGAGAGGGAGATGGAGGAGAAGAGTGTGAGAGCAGCAGCCAGAGTGCGGTGGAGAAAGCGTAATGGATTCATGTTGATGTTACAAATTAAAATGAATGCATGTTTGCTTCCGTTCACCCATACTCTGCTAGCGATATCCTTTTGATAGCTGTGATGTAGATGTTACTAAGACTTATTAGCATTTTACATAATTCCAGAGCATATTCTTGTTAGATATTTTATGTTTAGTTAAAGATTTATTTGATATCGTATGGATTATTTAATTCAATATACCATCACCATGCTTTATTGATACCAGGAGAGGTGAAATATTATGTTGGATTTCGCATGGAGTGTTCAAGTGTGGAATATTGTTACAGTCTAATAACATTTGAATAAAATAATAGGTTTGTCTGTTCAGTTTATCTACTAATTTTATTTATTTATTTTGTTAAGGTAATGCACTTCAGAAATAAATAGATTGCACATTTTGCAACTTTTCAAACATAAGCCTGGTTTCATTTGACGGGGAAATGGAAATACGTGTTCCATCCCTTAAATATTAGTCATAGCCAACAACAATAGGGGTCTTCTTTGAGCCCAACCACACGTAAATGCAAAATTCCGTGAAACAGACCAATTTTTGGTGCTCCAAAAAAAAAATGCAATGCATATTTGCGACCCTTGAAAGATTTTTTTATAAATGCATTACGTTCGCAGACATTACGTACACAGAGAGGAGACCCTTATGGGTGGAGGTAGTTTTATTCACAAAAGATACGACCAGCTAGATTTGTTTTTTACTTTAGGACTAAACACCCCATACTTTATACGAACCTTAGTTATGTGTAATGTTGTTGACTTTTCGAGTGATCTGCGTGCAGTATATCACATGTTGCCACAATGTAGGTTAGTTAACCCGCTAAAAAGTTCTAATGTAAATGCCGTTTAAAGTTATGTTACATTACATGTGTGCATAAAAACAATCACCACCTAAAAGTATGCTATAATTTCTTTACAAGCAAACCAGCAGCCATTATGAAAGAAATTTGGCTGTTTTTAAAAGTCCATTTTTGTGTGGTTTTTCATTTTCAGGTAATAGGCGACCAGAACCGAACAGTAAGTAAATTTGGGAAGATCATTGAATTCAAATGCAAATAACTCGGCGAATACTAAAGCTATTTTTATAATTTTTGCACAGATGTTTAGAGGGAAATCCAAAGTTTTATTACATACAGACACTACATATATAAACTTGTGTAATGTATGAGAAAAATAGCATTATGTGAAAGTTCAAAGATATGAAAAATATCGTCCATTTTTTTGTTAAATGTACACAGAGTGTTATACTCGATGTCGTCAGTTTGTGCTATACCCTACAGAGAGCACAGATTAATGGAAAAGTCGACGGGTTGACAGATAACTGACGTTTATATATAATATGGAATTTAATCCAAATGCAAATATCTCAGCAACTACTTAACCGATTTTCATAAAATTTGCACAAATGGTTCGAGAGAATTCTAAAGTTTTATTGCATATTGACAATACGTATGTTGTATAAGAGAAAATCAGGATTATGTGCAAGTTCAAAGATATTTTATATATCGACTATTTTTTTGTTAAATGTAAAGAATGTAGACAATATTTTTGTTCGCTTTACACGAAATATTGCATAGCGTATTGAATTGAGTCTAGTATGACGTATCCTTTTCTTCATATACCACGTTTTTATACACTTAACCTTGTGGGTAATGCGAAAAGCTGCCTCATCGAAATATTGGTTTTAGACAATATGTTTCCTTGAACTAAATCCATTTCAGACAATTTGGAGTCGAAGATTGGTAATATCGGACCACCACCTCTGGTAACTCCCACACAAAGTAGTCAAAATTTTATTGATAATTAATGTTGTAATATCATGAGAGCGGATTATCCATCCGATTTGAACCAAACTTTGCACAACCTAATATTTTTACCAAACCTGTATATTGTGGAAAGATGGGACTTATCGGCGATTTCCTTCTAGTACCTCCCACACAAAGGGTCGGCATTTTGAAAACATGTGAATCTCATATGAAGCGAACGGAATATCCAATTTAATTTTCTTTTGACTACTAAAAAGAATGAAACTAACGAATTGAGCAAAAGAATTGGTAATGGAGAAAAACTTATAAACTTTCCATTATTTATGTTTTTTTTTATTTTGTAGCAAATCGGCAGTCATCTTCAGGGAAATATTTTATGAGAAAAGCAACCGATTTTCATTACCGTCTATGCTAAACAGTTTAGCATATACGGTAATGAAAATGACCTAGAGCCAAAACAAAAATCCACAAGAATTAACATATCACAGGTCAACAATAACAACAACAAGAATCATTTTTTCTACTTCATTCCACACAAACATACAACCTTAAGTTATTGCACCATTTACGCTAATACTACTTATGTTGAAATCCAAAGACAGATGAGGATGGTTTTTTTCTCCATACGGTTTATTATCCCTTTTTGTTCCTTCTATCTTCATTTGCCCCTCCGCCACAATTGTATACGAGTCGTTGAATTGCAAATGCATTGTAAAACTTTCCAAGCCTTTGATCACTGTTATTATACATATGTATGTATATATGTAGTACGTATGTGTGGCATGTAGGAATCTATGCTCGCGTAACGCTCTCTCGTCGGTTGCTTTAGTGTTGTTTTGAGCCATATCGTATAACATGGTTATTTTAAAGTATTTTCACATACTTTTCAAATCGTTAATGCCGTTTAGGGATTTTACTGATAGTAGGGAAGGAATTGTGAGTGTGTTCGTAACGTTGTGTTACTGGAGTGTGAAGGCACTTATTGGCAAGATTTGCGTATTGCCAATTTTGTTCGCAAGTATTTATCTTCGTGTGTGGAATACATTTTATGAGGTTTTACTTAAATGGGGATTTACACTTTTACTGATAATATACATGCATTACATAACCACATACGTACTAGTGTGAAAAATATATCATTGCATTAAAAGAATAAACATTTTAGGGAAAAGAACGAAACCGAGTAAATTTTAAATAATAATGGTGTTTATTAAAATGTTCTTACAAAAAACATATCAGATGATTTTTCTTTTCAAAAATATACTTTGATTTACAACATATTCTTAACCAGTAACATATTGCTTAAAAGAAATGCATTAAAAACGGCAACAATAACACTATGAAATATTTATTAGCCATCAAACGGCCGCACTGCTCAATCTAATGCCAGTGAGGTATCAGCAGTACAATTGTTGTTACACACGGACCACCAGGAAATTGTATATGTCCTTAAACTTGATAAAGCTCTGATAGTTGTACTATTTTCTCCCAGCTCATATAGTTCCTTACAGTAATTGTGCACAGACGAAGAACCATTGCCACCATATTCGAAAATCGATTCGATACTTGCCACCAAAGAGCCGAAATGCTTCTCAGCACAACCAATTAGTTTGGACAGTTGATCGGAGGTAACTGCATGGTATTGCGATGGATCCAATGCCGTTTTATTTAAAATATTCATTAATTTGGAGAAATTTGAAACGGAAATTCTCGGTGACAGCAGCGGCAACAACTGAACTATAAGTCTGTGCAACTCGAAGACAATGTGACTAAAATTGTGGAATTCCTTTTCGTTGGCTTTTAGAGCATACCACAAGTTATTGATTATACTGATGAGACCCTCAATAACATCGAACTGATAGAACTCAATCGACGAAACAATGGAGCATAACCATGGTAGGATTCCAATATGCTCTATCATAATCTTACTGGAGGCTGGGATTTTGACACACGTCGAAAAGACTGAAAGTATTAACAAATTCAATTCCAACGTAGACATAGTACTGCCGTAGAAACCCATTAAGACTTTGAAGGTATTCGTGGAGACCAGCAAGAACAAATCGGAACTTGATTTAACACCATTGCGAATTACCTCCACAATAAATTTACGGAACTGTTCATGTTCTACTTCGGGTGAAAAGAATAGAACATTGAATTCTGGAATACACTGGAAATTGAAGCTGCTTTTCAGCCTCAAATACATGGTCAACTGTTTGTAAAGTAGATGTGTTGGATCTGTGGTTAGGTTGAATGTTTTCGACACGAACAGGCCTGCAATATACGGTACTCTGGGTGTGCCTTTGTTGGATTTGTGTTTCATCCAAGAATTGCGCAAATCATTGAGACCTGACTGTATGTTTTCGTAGGTCTGGATCCACAAGGGTTTTTCAAAGAATTTCTTGTTTTCGAAGTGACTGCGATAGCGCAATTGAACACAGCCAGAGGCCAATCGCATGTCTTTATCTTGTGAAGACAAAGCAGCGAAGGTAAGTGCCAGTAAGCCATTTTGTACGGGTCGTGCCGGGTGCGAATAAGCTTCTGGAGCAAAGCACATAGACATAAGTGGCACAAAGAAGGCTGGGTCATAGCATTGTTCAAATACGCTCTTTCTTTTCGGACAGAGTCGTAACTCTTGTTCTTCGATTTCCGTTATTCCCATTTCCACTTTGTTCTCCAAGTCATTGGCTCCAAACGACCATGGTCGTGTAAACGGATTTTCAAATTCAACCTGTGGCAGTTGTTGTAACGTATCCAATTTGCGCCATATGGGGAAATTATCGATGGTATACTCACATATCTGGCGATCTACTAACGACATTACCTGTTCAATGGAAGTTTCTTGGTGTGTTAACTTAGACCTTTCCTCTACATCGACACGCAGAGCATAGAATGCCACAGCACTCTCTCCCCAAATGAAGGGACGGTATTTGTGCAAACCGCAGTCGTAGTACTCGAATAAGTTTAATAGAGCCAAAGCGTAACGGTCACTATCGCTTAGACGGGCTTGGTAGGAGCCTAATATGAAAGGAATTTGTTTTTCATTCAATGACGAGGGACACTTCTTGGCTAACGTGAAAAGTAAGTGCAGCACCTGGGTTTTTACTTCAGACTGTTGACCTTTTGTTAGGATAATGTCGTAAAACTTAGAATGTGTATATATCATTTCGTACAATTGAGCTGGCTCTTGAGGAACCTCCGACTCAGCAATCTCCTCTGAATAATCGATATACAAATGCTCACATAGATGAGCAAAGAGCTTTAAAAGCAGCCCATTGAATCTATCTTCCGTTTCGTCTTCAACAACAGCTTCGCTGATATGCATTCCAGTCTTTAAGCAGGCCTTACAAAATTGTAGCCACTGCTGGGACTTCAAAAGTTTCGAGAAATCAGGCGAAAATTCATTTTCATATTCGGCATCTGTGGTTTGTGTTTGCGCACTAGCCTGTAAACGCAGCCCCTGTTTGAACCATTGATCTATTTGATATGCAGCCAATTCTAGTTTTTCCTGGTTTAGCTTTTGCATTTTCAAGTCCAAAGACAGCATTTGAACGCTCAGCATTACAAAATTTACAAAAATGTTGGACTTGGTGGGCATCTCTTCAACATGTCTGAAGGCCTTCTCATAGATAGCATATACGGAGCGCATCTGATACGTTTCTATATTTTCAAATTTAAATTGTTTGTTGCAGAAATCACGACATTCTGTCAGGGGCATACATTGTTCGATTAATTTTATGCTGGACTCTACATTTTCCTTATAAATCACGCCGGCCTTGAGGGGTTTTTCAATGCAACGCATAAAACCATTCTTGTAGTTCTGATAGATTTTCTGCATAAGCGATGCCTCTATTTCGGTATTTTTTGCAAACGCTATGGATAAGAGCGGATAAATTAATTCCTTCTTATCGATATTACTCTCCAGTTGTTCCAAAAAGACTGACTCCAAATTGGGATTACGTTCGAAAAGTAGACAACACAACTTTATGCTGTACTTTGAAAGTTTTCTTTCCTTAAAGAAGGACTCAAAGAATTTCGATCCCAATTGCTCCACATATTGATGATTGATGATGAGGAAATTGTAAAAGGCCTCCTCCAAGCTTTCGACATTGTATTCTCCCTCTAGTTTCTTAAATATGTTGGAATACATTTTCGAAAATTTCCTAATAAAATCACCACCATTTAGGGTCTTTTTCAATTCGGCCAATCGCTGGAAACAAGCCACTAAAAGAGAGTGGTAGATGGTTTTTAGTTCATTTGAAAACAAATCTTTATATGTGATTTTCGAGAGTAGTGTGTCCAATATTTCGCCACAGTGATTGGCCGACAAATTGAAGGTCCTCAGTATGTTAACAAATTCCTCTAACTGCTCAGAGTGGGATGTAACTTCATTGGTGTCATTTACAGAAATAGCTGATGCTTTGACCAATTTCAATTTGAAATTTTCCGCATAATGATCAAAACTTTCCAATCGTTTGCAGTGTTGTGTCAGGACATTAATAAATTTCAAATAGTTTCTAAATGAAACACTTGCAATAGTTGACGTAATCAAATCACCAGATTTAATAGAGTTCAATTTCACGCCAAAGATATACTTTAAAATGCAATTTATGCAACTGTCTTGATCTGTTGTATACGCTGTCAAAGAACTGTCTTTCTGAGGCGAGCATTTCATTATAACTTCTAAGCAATCGACAATGAATTCTGCGCTTTTCAATGATTGCTTCTCCGACAACATTTCCTTCTCCATTAATTTATCGACATGGAATAAAATTTGTTGAACGTATATCATCAGTAGCCGTTCGTTTTGTACGATAGTTGAGAATTTTTTAAGATTTCCTTTAAATTCCACCTCAACGTTGTTTTCAGATGACTTGCTTTCAAAGATATCTTCAAAATCAGGAGAACTGTTGATAACCATTTGCTGAATCTCTGTGAAATGGTTAATTTGCTTGAACTTATCTGATTTTGGCAAAAGTTTACGTTCTTCCTTAATGTCATTGGACAGCCAATTAGTCATGTAAGACTTGAGGTCTTTAAATTGTTGTTCATACAGTCTTAAGACATTCTCAGCCGAAGGATAGTAGTGAAACATTAGAATGCACACAATTTCCAAATAATTGCCCAATTCCTTTTCAATTAAAACACCCTTGAAAATCAAAGGCATTAGCTTACTAATAGACAAGGCTTCGGTGTATGCCTGAACCGATAGGCCCTTTTCTATGTTTTCGAATAGAGTATGTAAGTTTTTCGTATTCGTTACAGTCTCAACAGTTTTCGGACATTCAACATCAGCTTTGAGAACCTGAAAAAGTGATTCCATTAACATATGAACATAGCATAACCAATTTCTCAACTCACCTTGAAGACCTCAACAAAAACTTGTGTAACCAATTGTACACTTTCGTTGGGAATAAATTTCAAAGCTTCAAGCCAAAAATCAATTTCTAGTATTCCTGAATCGAAAATGCCAGTATTCTTGAAGATTGTCCTGAGAAGAAATCCAGCCTCATGACTGGTTTGGCTTTCCCCATTCACAAAGGCATTGATCAGAGATGCCAGCACACTGTTGAATTGCTCAGTCTGGGGGTCCAACGACTTTGGTGAAATCCATAAAATGGTTTTAATAGCCTTCATTTCCAATTTAATGTTTTCCGGACTGGCGTTTTCCTTGCCAGCATAAAGGGGGCGCAAAAGTTCCAAATAGTCCAAAAGGGTAGAAGTCTTGTTGACGAAAGAATCATTTTCTTGACAAAGCAGCATTGTGAGATCCAATGCGACGTCCAAATGGGCCAAAACATCAACACCCTCCAAATTCTTCACGTTAATTGAAACTTCAAGCGACCTTAACACTTTTTCAATTGGTGGGAAATGCAATAACAAGTGATTTAAAATGTCAAATTTAAACTTTCTCAATGTATTCGATCCAGCCGACTTCTTCTGTTCCCGTTGCAATATTACTCGCATATAGTTTGTGTATTGCTTGAACATGGCCAAAAGCAAGCTAGTACTGGCCAATCGATAGTCAAATCTAACATTTGCCAGCAACTCATTGCCATTCAAATGTACCAGAGTTTCAATTGGCAAGCAAATATCCTTGATCCAATATGTGAAATCGGTTATGGTGATTTTGTCCAGAGCACCTTTCAAGTGATTTGGGTGGCATGTATTTATTACGTCTATCAGGAAGTATGTAGCCTTTTTCCAACTTTCATTTATACGAAGCATTGGATTTATAACTCCGGCATAATTACGTACTGTGTTACGGAAAAGGTCGGGACAGTTTTCTAATATTTTCAAAACCAGATCCTTCTTCAAATCATGTTCCCATGGAAATTTCACAGCTCCAATAACTTGACCTAAGAGAAAATATATTAAAAAACATATTAATATGATGAATTTTGGTATTAAATATCGTGGATACACACCTTGTATGGTATTGTGTTTTTGTCGGAAATGTGTTATAGTATCGAAAGCTATGCCATGTTTTCGTGATGTTAGAAGTTCCAACAAGAAGTCATGAGCGGCCTTTGATACTGCCTCCTTTTCATCCTTATTTATAAGGTTTCTGAAATCCTTACGCCCTTTTATCGTTCTTTTGGTCTGTTCAACATAAAATGTAGGTCCCTTCCAATCGTATAGTTCCAGCAGTGATTTGCAACAATTTACGTCGAAAACGTGAACCTTTTTGGTCTTTGATATGTCGGGACACTCCAGTACATATTTTTTCAGAGTACTCAAGACCACGCACACCGTCACAGAATCATCAAAAACAAGGCCATAAACCAGGGCACTTATTATAGAAGTTCGATCCAAAATATTACGTATGAGAAGTGTGTTTCCATCGACCAAATAGGCCAACACGAAATGAATGAAGCATTTCCGCACTGTCTCGATTTCTTCGCCTTTGGTCTCTTCCGCTTGTTTCACTTCTGCTGGTGAATGGGAGAGAAACTTCACAATTGTGTGTTTATTCGACAAAATATCATAGGAGGATAAAATTTGTCTGCCTAATTGTGGCTCTATGCAGACGAAGGCAGTGAGTAACTTTAATGCTATTTTACGATGATTAAACTGGGCAGATTCCAACAATAGTTCCAATATGGCACCATGAGTTTTGAGAAAATATCTTGACGCATGAACTGCTGACTCCATGTGATTCCTTTGATTGCCCAATATCTCCATCAGCACCAGGTACAGAGCTTCACAAATATAGGCAGAATGCAAGACATTGTTTTTGTCTATGCGCTCCAAAGCCTCTGCCAGTTCCAATGGCTTGCCACGCTTTTCTATATATTTGGCAATCATTTTTGGACGAACACCGCACAGGTACAAGAAATGTCTTAGCTCTGCAAAAAAATATGTGCATTTAGAGGGCATTCATGGGAAGTCCTCAGTACGTGGAACACTTACCAGTTATAAAGCTGACACCACGAAGTTTGCTTCTAAAGTTGGTCATATTAAAATCTTTTGAAAATTTCATAGGCTTCTCCTCAGGTTCAAATCCGGAGTCCTGCTGAGAATCATCTGCATTAGTTTCCTCATTATCATTTTCTTCCTTGACTTTTTTGGGTTTCTTTTCTTTTTTCTTGGGCACTGCAGCGATTCCTTCATCTTCATCTGGATTTTCTTCGTCGTGTTTCCTTTTCCTTTTATTTACTTCCACAGCCATGTCAGAAATTTCAATGTTTTACTTCTATTTCAGTATTCCCGGTCTTCCAATGAATTTATTTTGTTTTTCATTTATTATTAAATAAATTAAATAAAACTCATAAAAATAAAACTGCTCCGGCGAACCGCACGTGTTTTCTTTCAGACTACAATGCCAACATTTAAAAAACCGCCGGAGTTCTTGTAATTTCGACGGCGCTGCTAGAGTGGGCGAAATAGGTCTAAAAACGTAACTGATAAGGCAGAATCAAAACAAACTTGACAAATCTTTGGTACACTTAGGTCGAAATTCGGACAAATCTGGGGAATCAAAACAAAAGTGATAGAATAGCTACCCGAACTAAATTAAAAACGTTCCCACCAATTCGTTTTTTAAAGAATTAATAATAAAGTTTAAAAAAATGATCGAGGAAGAAATTGAATTTGGTTTGCACAACGTATAATATTCAGTTAAAAAATGAAAACAAATAATTGACATTTTGTGACTCTAGCCGCCAACTCGTTCGTTTGGTTTTCACGCCGGCGAAAAAGTATGACGCTGACTCGTGACTCTCTGGTTGCGTTTAGAGTCTAATGCCGTGTCAGGCAAACCACCTCACCCGTGCTCTCCTTGACAGTAATTTCAGTGTAAAAACGAACAACACGAACAACATAGTAGCTCTCTGCCTGTTTCTGGTTTAATGCTTAATATATTTCCAGTGTTTGTTTTGCTTCGTCGACGGAATACAAAGAAGGAGGAGAAGAAGCAAGAGTTTTCAAAGCGATAAGATATGAACGTAAATAATGTCTGTTTAGTTTAGTTAACAAATGTTCCCCAAGCGAAAACATATCTCATATTGTTTTATTCCCCCAATGTGATAAGTTGGTCGGTTGCTTCGGATAGATTACCGCATCACACTGCAAGCGAAGAGACACCTGGAGCCCTGCGATCATATCTGCCCACACTATGGGTTTCTTTCGATTACAAAAGCTTCTCGGACAATTTACTCTGGTGAATTTCCACTTGCGGATTATGTTCCTCATGCTGGTTGTCCTGTGCATGATAGGAGTTCTATTGAATTTCTATAGGAGAGCAGATTTGACTCCCTGCTTTATGGACTCGCCATTTGAAAATAGTTCAACAAAACTTGAAGATGTTTTGTTCGCCCGAGTTCAACCTGATCCGGGTCGAAGCATATTTTTTCATGAAACAACATGCCCACACTTGTCTTCAATGCTGCGGGCTGATGTCTACGCCGAAGGAGTTCATTTAAATGTGGCAAAGCTAAATGCTCGGCAGGCCTGTGCAATCGAATCGGCAGCTATTCACAATCCTGCGAGCAAAGTTTTTGTTCTATTTGCTAGTCCTCGTTATAAGAACTCAAATGCCAGTGATCCCATTATGGATGCCATTCTAACGTACAAAAATATTTACCTAAGGAATCTCAATTTGTGGACATATGCAGCTGGTACCCCTGTCTATGATCTGTTAAAGGATGGAGCATTATTTAAATCCGAGTAAGTAAATTGGGCATTGCTGTGTGTACAAACTAGTAGACGATTCGTTCCATTATAGTTATGTCCTGTCACATATATCTGATATATGTCGTTATTTGACATTGTGGCGTTGGGGTGGAACATACCTCGATATGGATGTGGTTATGCTGCGTTCAATGGAAGATGTACCTCCCAACTACACGGGAGCGGAATCAAATACTCATCTGGCCGCGGGTGTAATGAATTTCGCCCACGATGGATTTGGCCATGAAATTGCCGAAGAGTGTCTGTTGGATTTGCAACACAATTTCGACGGTTCCAATTGGGGTAATAATGGTCCGGGTGTAATCACTCGAGTCATGAAACGTATTTGCCAGACAAGCAACATTGAGGTGATGCAGGACAACACAAAACGTTGCATGGGCTTTAGGGTATTCCCCATAGAGGCTTTTTATGCCATTCCATGGCCGGAATGGAGTAACTTTTTCGAATCGAGTTTACTGGAGCAGACAATGACACGTTTGAAAAATTCATATGTAGCTCATGTTTGGAATAAGCATTCTACTAAGCGAAAAGTCAAAACAGATTCAAACTGCGCCTACAGCGTCTTAGCCAGAACACATTGTCCACGAGTCTTTAAAGCAGCTGGTGAATATTTCTAGCCCATCGATTTTATACGTCAAACACGTACAGAATGACTAATACGAATACGAATCTCCGCACAAATCTAATACCAGTGAACATCTTATTAGAAATCTCCTTCCCCACTCTACTCCGCACATAATTATTTTACATACCAAAGTATTATTTATATAACACAGACATTTTATTACACACTGCAAGCGCAGATAGGACATATTATATTGTATTTACTTATGATTTTACCAGTTTATGTGTATGTGTACTAATCGTAGTTGGTGTAGTATTCTTATAAAAAACGAACAAATTAAATACAATATAGAATTGTAGCAAAAAGGTAGCAAATAAAAAGTTGTAATCATTTTTTAAAAATATTCAATGCGATTTTTTCTATAAGTCATATGAAAGGTAGTGGGGTGATTGAGATAACAAACGCTAGTTCGGCATTTCGGGCAATTCTTGGAATAATTTCTCAATAAAATATCGTTATGTCCATATTTTTAATGCATTTTATCTATTTTGTGTCCCATCAATATAATAAACTTGTTATCTTGTTGTTGAGTTTTAATAATTGTAATCTTTATTTGCAATGCCATTATATTTTCTTGATGGAAATTCAATCGTTTCTAAATTATCTGTCTGGTCAAATAGTTCACAATATAGGTATATATATTAGAAATTTGAGTTTGTGTGTGTGTACTTAGATGTGATTTATAACAAAATGAAATGTACAAGAGAAAAGAGATTATGATTAGAAGTATTTTAATCAAATTAAAAATAATTTCAAACATCGTCTGGTATTTGACAAATGAGTAACATTGTCAAGTATACATCACACATCTCAATGACTGAATTGTTGAGGCATTTGGGATTATGAATTGTAGCACTGGGATCCAGGTTGGATCTATTGGCATTTGTTTGACATACATAATCTATCATGCCAACGAAAATCCCCCAAAACTCCTTCCCCAAAAAATATTGATTTGTATTTTTTTTTCTTTTTAATGCAGTTTTATTTCATTTTTCAAATTTGTGTTTTGTTTTTTTTTCTGTTTTGTGTGTTTTTCATTCAATAAGAGATACTTTTGTTGTAATCATGTTTTCTGGTTGTTGTTAAGTTTTAATAATTGTAATCTAAATTTGCAATGGCATCCTCTTTTCTTGGCGCAAATGCCATCATCTCCAAATTATCTGGTCAAGTAATTAGAGTTTGAGTTTGTATGTGTGTGTGTGTAATTACCGCTGCCTTAATTAGATGTGGTGAAAAGAGTATGCCATGTACAAGAGAGAATAGATTCTGATTTACGTTTGTTTTTGATAAAATTAAAAATAATCTCAAACATGACGTCTGGTATTCGACAAATGATTAACATTGTTAAGTATACATCAGGCATCTCCAGAACCACCAACCACAACCACGCCGGCTGCATTATTGGGGCATTTGGGTGTATAAACTGTTGCATTGGGATCCAGGTTCGAGCCGTTGGTATTTGTTACGCCATTTGAGACTTGAGAAACTAAAACCGAAGTGGCCACAGACACGGGCACAACACAGGGACACTGGCTTTGCTGTTGTTGCTGCTGCTGTTGTTGTTGTTGCTGCTGTTGTTGTTGATTTGTAACCACATAATCTGTATTCAGAGATTGCTGCACATAATCAGATGCTGATGTTGGTACAACGCGGCCGGCTAATTGTTGCTGGGCTTGGGCGGCACTTAAACTGGTTAACATGGGCGAAGCAGGGCCAGGACCAGTTTGTAGAGGAGGTGTATCGTTCATACGCAACATGGAACTAGCGCCAGTTGAACTGCATGATGGCAAGCATAGTGAATCCGTGGGCATTACGGCTAGAAGCTGTGCGATTTTTGCCTTGAGGTCATGCACTTCTTCCTCCTTGGAGCGCCTTAAGTCTGTAATCAAATAATTTGACAAATTAGAATTTTTGGTTCTTGTTAGATATAACGTTGTTAACTTACTTTCGGAAATCTCCAGTTGTCGCTTAGCATCTCCCAGAGCTGAGAATAAGTCCAGCTTAACCCTCGTCTCTGCGGAAAGATTCTTTTCCAAAGTGCAGTTCTTGTCCTGCATTGCTGCCAAAGCATTCATTAGAACATCTGCACCGGGCTGCAGGGAATCGCGATTCCGAATCTCAGCTTCAAACATGCGTAACTTTGTTCACGAATGAAAAAAAATATATTAAAGTAAAGCAGTCATAAAAAAGTTAATATGGATTGGAAAACTCACTTCTTGCTCCCATTTACGTCCATGCTGTTCTGCCAGCTGTTTTCCTTCTTCGGCCATTTTGAGCTCTCGTCTAAGTTGTTTGATCTCCTCATCCATTTGTTGTTTTCTCTGCTTACACTGGGTGCTACATTCGGGACGTGATGCTTTGTCTTCAGCCTGCTTGCGTGCCTTTTTCTCGTTATTCAGCTGCGCTTCCAACGATTGCTTCTGTCGCCTCTCTTCATTGAGACGACGTTCGAGTGATTGCAACTGCAGCATGTCATTGTGCCTGGCATTGGTTAAGTCGTGCAGACGTTTCTCCAGCTCGTCACATTCCTTCTGTTTGGCCTGCAAACAGGATTTGGTTGTCATGTTTGTTTCCAGTTTTTGTCTCAGCTCGTTTTCGATCTGTTTCATGTGGCTTATCTCGGAACGATATTTTTTAACGTCGGCCTCGAGCTTTAAACACGATTCACAGATCTTAGAAACAACTTTAGAAGCTATATGAGATATGGTCGAAGTGGCGGAATTGCCACCACTCGATTTCGCTGAAGACGACGAAGATGATGTGGACGACGATGATGATGAAACAGATGAAGCATCTGAATTGTGGTGATGGTGTTGATTGTGAGTATCTTTAGATGCTGACGATGAGTTCTGGTGTGGCTGTTGCTGCTGATTCTCCTTATTGGAATCCTTTGTGTGAATGTGATGGTTATTAGCATTGTTATTGTTGTTATGGTTATGATAGTGATTGTCCTTGGAAGAGTTTTCCTTCTTGGAACGATTTCTCCGACCTGAAAGACGAAATATTAATAAAATGAATGTTTAATCCCCAAGTCAACGTTCGATAATGTACCTTTAGTTTTCTCAACAGGCTCGACCGTGACCACCTCCTCATTGTCAGCATGCGTTGCCGCATTACCATTTACATTCAATACTGATGACGGCTGTTGCTGCGATGAAGAATTTCCGGATTTCTTATTTGCTTTTCCTGTTGGCAATTCTAAAAGAATATCAATGTAAATAATTGCCATCAAGTTGTGAAAAAAATCTATGTAGTCGTACCATGTTTATCCTTGTCCTTGGTTGTTGATGTCGACTGCTGCTGCTGATGGTAGTTGTTATTGTCCCAATCGGCTTTTTCTTTCACATTATTATTATTGTGATGGTGATGATGATTATTGCTTTCATTGCTCTGATTCAGCTGGTGATAGTTGTTGTTTTTGTTATGCTTACTTGTTGTGTATGCATCACTATTATCTCCGCCAGCATTCATTTGATTACTCACTGAATTATTTTTGTGTCGGTTTTCCTTGTCCATACTACGTCGGTTATTCTTTCCACCGCCTATGTGACCATTTGAAGTTGCTGAAAAGGTGAGTTTGTTTAAAGTTATTTGTCATTTTGATTGTAATCTAGCAATATCATGCATTTCATCCACAAAACATAAAATATCTATAATGTAAGCTCATGGTTAAAACTCTTGATTGGAAATTACATTTAAAGCTCAGCTATTTACAAATATTATATATTAATAGCCATTAATAAATAAACTGTGCGCATAGGTATTTTTCTTACGAAATCTGAATGTTTAAAACTCGAATAAAATGTTAAAAAATACTCATTGGGATTATGGCAATTTGATTGATAAAATGCTAATGCGCATCAATATGTTTTGATATTGTGTCAAATCATATTTTTGCGAAGCTTTATACTGTATAGATAGGTCGGAAAAATACCCAGGTTTTGAATATAAGCTTATATAGATTAAATTTACCACCACTACCGCCACCAATTTGTACATAGCTTTTATCATCATTAGACGTTGATGATGATGAGGCCGTTGTTAGCGTAGAAGATAAATATGAGGCTGAAGACGTAGATGTAGAAGATGTTGTATTATTAGAAGAGGAAGAATTTGAGGATGAGGAGAAATTGGAGCTGGCTACACCCGATACTTGACAAGCAGCAGATGAAGCCATTGAAGCGGAACCATTTACTGTTAAACAGTTACCATTGTGATTGTTATGATGTGTCTGTTGGTGCTGCTGATCGTGGTGATGGTGAGTTTGTGCTAACGATGTCACCGATCCATTCGCCGTCGCTATCGAATTCGAAATCTGTGTATGTGCAGCAGAAAGTGATGCTCCCGTTGCCGACGAATTGCTTTGATGATGATTACTGTTTTGTGCACCATGACTCGCCGAGGAGATGGCAGCAACTGCATTTGCGGAGGAATTTGTATTGGCGGCTACCACAGTCTGTGTGTCATCTGCCGGCTGTGTGGACTCCTCTTGGGGCAGTGCTTGTTGCAATAATTGCATATAGAATTCGTTTTCTTTAGCTACCTCACGTTGTTTTCGCTGTCTCATGCGATAGCCAACATAGCTTTTAAAGCCGAAGCCTAAAGTAACCACAGGATAACCAATGCTGCAATCATATCAAACGAACATTATGAACAATTTTCTATAGCGAACAATTTCAAAACACCTACCAGTGTGCTGCAAATGGTCTACATAAATCTAAGTGAGGCATATGTCTGCTGTCCTTCCATCGTATGCCAGCCTCTAAATATACGAATAACATCCATAAGATGATGGTTGGCAAGCAAATGCCTTTATCTGAAATAAAATCAGGGTTAAAAGAAATATGCTTGGAAACTTGATGGAACAACAAACTTGAAGGTCCTTGTGTATTAGTCTGTGGTATTTAATTATATTAAATACCACATTATATTAAATACCACAAACAATCCACCATATATTTCACAAATATTTAAAAACAAAAAGAATCAGTTTGTTTACTTACCTGTATGCCATACATATTGTACCCACACATATGTACTGGCTGCAAATAATAACCAATTAACTGGTATAAAGAATAAACATACCAAGTCGGATGTTATTGCTATGCATACAAATAAAACCGAAAATGCCTAAAAGCAGACAATACAAAATGAAACAATATTACTGTAGTAGTCAGGCAATAATGGGGAGGCATGAATTCACCACTTACCAGTCCTTTATATTTAAATGAGTCGTGTACTGAACGCAGCAGCAACCAAAATGGCCATAGAAATTCAAATCGGAACATAAACATAAAATCTGCTGTTATCACAATAGCCCATAGTACCAAAAATTTCATGTACAGAACAGTGGTGCTGCAAGACATTTGAGAAAGGGAGAATGTAAATGAAGTTATGACAATGTCGGTTGACGACTTACCTGCCGTACATACTTTCCGTAATTTTGTTACGTTTTATAGGTCTTCGTAATTTGCCGCAATCGGCATTACGGCGCTTCATTTTGAAATTTGTAATTTTTCCAATTTAAAAAATAACAGTTTTGAAAAAATATTTGCTTGCCGTGGTGCTGATGTCTGTGAGCAACCACGCTGTTTTGTATGTTTGGTTTAGTTTCGGAACTGATGTAAACACCGCTGACAAATGCTGCAGTCGTCTCAGATCTCCTTGTGTTTGAGGGGTGTACTTGTGTATCGGTAATTATTTAACGATTAAACAGATGATGTACTACTTCTGACGGAAGAGAGCATGCAAATAAATTGTCGATATCGTAAAACACCAACACTTTTTCTTGGCTCTTGTTTTTACGCCTTTGTATTTATTTTGCTATTTTGTTTAAAAGCAATATTTTACTCCGTACTTGTAAATGTTCTCAGCGACTGCCAAAGAAATATGCAGTTGTTGTTATTGTAATTATTTTTTTAGGCGTATTAATAATGTATTGTTTATTGTTGGTGCTGACAATAGTGTTCCTTAAATGCACCATACTATCGAAATTTGATCGATTTGTCCCGTCTCATCAATAATACAACATGTTAGTTATGAATGCTGCTGATGATGCCTCCTGCAACGTTTGAATGTATCAGGGCTTGCGTGCTGCTTTATTTGTTTATTTTGATTTTGAGTTTATCCCCAAAAAATATTTAACTTTTATACTCGGTGTGTTTGCACAGTAAATCGTACTTGGTGGCTAGCTGGCTCTTCCTCTCTTTATCCAACAGAATGGTGGTATGTATTGCGTATGGCTGGCTTGTTTATGTTTGTATCTACTTCGATTTAGATGGTGTTTGCTATTCCCATTTTTTGCAAACTAAAAAAAATGTTTGCTGTTTTCGTATCTGTAAATAGATTAACAATAAAGAATAATGAACAAGGGAAGAAGAAGATATTCAAAGTTGAATTGTGAAAAAACAAGAAAAACATCACAAGAAATAGAAAAACAATCATCAATTACAGGGTGAATTGAAATGCTTCTTCCTCTATTTTATATGGAATAATTCGAAGAGTTTTTTTAATGAAATATACTTGAAGAGTTATCTTAAATATTTCAAATGAAAATTTCGAATTAAAAAAAAAAAAAACATTTCCGTTGATCTAGCCGTTTTTATTATAACCTAAATTCATATGAATATTACGTCTTACATGGTACCTTTTCTGAAATTGTGATGCATTATATTAGACCTAGTTAGGCTAATTTAGATTCTAAGCGAGTGAATTGATTGAAAATTACAAACCGAAAATTTCCCAATGTATTTCTAGATTTATTAACATTGGCTGGTATATTTTGCGTCACCCTGTTGAAATTACATAAATTTTACTTTCAAATGTCAATGTTTTCATTTCCATTATTTTGTTGTTTTTGTTGTGCTTAGCTGTTTTTATTGCATTTTTCGGCTATTTTTAAAATGAATGCTTACAAAAGCAAGAAAATTCTCACTTTGGCGGTATTTTAATATATTAAGGTGGCATGCAGCAGAAATGATGCTGAAACAAGTCAACCCGTTTTCATCATTAGTAAGCAATTGGTGGGTAGAAAATGTAATGCAATTGTTACAATTAAGTGAAAATATTTTCCTCATCTCTTGACGTCATAATTTTAGACAAGACGTTTGCTTTCAGTTTTCTTATGTCTTCTATGTATTCTGGCTGCGGCAACAGATGTACGTTTTTCACATATTTTCGACAGATCAGTATGACAGCCAACTGTCAGAAGAAACACCACACATTGTGCAAATAGAATAAAAACAATTCAAGTAAGAAATATTAAACATAAGAAAAAAGTCACAAAACACTAGACCGAATATGGCTAATTTTAAGCAAAATCCTAAAAGCGGTTTTACATGGAATCACAACAACAATAAACAACTAAATATCACGCAAAATTGAAATAACAAAAAAGAAGAAACAAAAAAATAACATACATACAGGTTGACATTGGCTACAGAACGAAAAAAACAAACGTGAGGGGGGAGGTTTTTCAGAAGGAGGGGGTTTTCAAATATGTACCGATGTCATGTTTATTTTTTTTCTTCAAAACATTCAAGAAGTATCCTCATGAATAACTTGGTAGGATTTTAGGCAGGAAATTTAAATTCGATCGGTTCTAACCTGTTGAAATTTAATTAAATTAACCATTCTAATATAAGTATTAGACATTCTATCACAATTATTCAGCTTCAATAAACTGCCGAGGATATCTAAAAGGAAATTATTGTATGTCTGTATGTATGTACAATCGATGTACTGGCACTGGTGGTTGCTTACTTGCTTATAGTTAAATTTCCACCTCTCGACGTGACACCCAGGCCACATAGTGCCGTGAATATTGTTATACACATGTTGTGTTATTAATAACCAATAAAAAAAGACTGGTGCACCTTTCGCTTATGATTAAAAGGCAACAAATAGATAGATACTATGAGAGTGGATAGTAACACATGCCAAAGTCTTCAGGAAACGGAACACTAGAGTGTATTGACATTATTGCTTACTATGCATTAATTATAATTATTACCAACCAACAAAACTAATTAAAAAGCAAATCGAGATGATGGAGCAATGGCAAGAAAGAAAAAACTTTAAGAGCAATGAGGCTTATAAATCGATGTCTATTATTAGCAGAAGAAATAAATTCATAATAAAAAAATATGCAACAAAATTATTGAATATAAACAACAGACATCATTCGGAAATCGGTATACCGTAAAAAAGGGTTTGAGGCATTTATGAGTTTACCGTCCAAGTAAATATCACTTGAATATAAACAGCACAGGACATATTGTAAGTTCGAAGAAACAATGATTCCCAAAAGCAAAGACACAACTGATACTTTAACATTGTTGTGAAAATGAAGTGGAAAACAAAAATGGAATAATCACTTGGTAGGACAAAATAAGGACAACAGTTATTATGGTATGGATTAACATTTTTAATCCCCATTCACATTCCATATCAAAGTGAGAACAAACCAAAAATAAAATGAATTCCAAATCCTAATCCATTCAATTTTTTTCATATAATTAGCACAGATTAACTAAGTACTATTTTCCTTAAAATACACACCCACCGTCGATTTCAAATTAATTGTCTTGAAATACAAATGTTTCGTTTTTTTACAAATTCAACACTGACATGCAACTTCCAGGATATAGGATAGGAAATTCATATACATTTGTTCCCATGACAAACCTCCCTCCACCCTTCCACCACTTTCAACTTCAACGTAAACTTTTTTCTACACACGTTTACACAAACTTCTGGATCCTAAGGCATTTCCTTTTCGTTGTTGTATCACTTTATCCACATCAGCATCATTATCATCGTATATCTTTTGAACTTCCCGAATTTCTTCCTAACCAAAAATAGATATACGAAGCAAACGTATACTAGATGAACGGTGACGGTGTTGCGTGGTGGTGGTTGTTGAGAACTATGGAATCTCCGACAAACAGCATCCACAGTCATCAAGAGCGAAAGTTCACGCAGGAGTAAGATAAAGTGAGAGAGCGTTCAAGAAGGAAATACGCGACGCCATTATGATGAATTCACAAAGTAATAAACACGAAAAAAGAGGTACTAGCAGCCAACCAGCCAGCCACCTTCTTCCTTACCCCACTCATCGACAGCAGGCAACGAAATTTAGCGAACAGAAAAAGGAAGAAAACAATCGCGCACCAACCAAAACTCACATCCAGCCACACCACCAGCAACAATCCCAGATTTACAAAAATATTGCACAAATGATTGGCACTTTTTCCACTGGTTTTACTTTTTTCCGTATCCTTATTCACAACATTTGTTTCGACATTCTGTCGTTGACACACCACTACAATAGAATTTTCTTCATTTCGGGAATATATACGTACAAGAGAATAAGCCTTTTTTCTTTTCTTCCTCTGCTTTTTGCAACAAATTTTTCATCCGCGGCCACGAAAACTTTTTTCCGATCAATTCTTGCAGTTATTTGCTATTTCAATTTGCTGCTGTATTCGTGTGTAGTTAAATTAACACCACTTTTGTTTAGTACATTTATTTATTATATATAATTTTTTTTATATTTTTGCAAGCAAATTTTCCTTTTCAATAAACATTCCGTCGCCCGACAGACTATCTTTGCTTTGACAATTCAACTGACAGCTATGTTGCAAGAACTGCTACCAACTTCGCTCGACGAATTCATACAAATAGGGAAGAATGAAAAAATGCCCGATAAAGAAGAAACTCAAAGTGGAGAGAAAAAAAAAATAAAATTTACGAATGAGGTGTGATGGACACCGTTTGATAAGCGTATTGTTGAGAAAAAGGGCATGGAGAGAATTGCCGATTAGGGATACGTCAAGTCGGCTCGTACGCCGAAATTAGGGATATAAAATTTGATTTTCGACTAAACAAAATGAAATTTAGAGTTGCAAATTAGAACAAAAACAGTTGTTTTTTTTTTATAAAAAAAAAACTTGTAAACTAAAAACAATAGATGTGTCAGTAAGTCACTCGAATTCGTTCGTTTAGAATTTTACAGAAACAGTCAATTAATTTTTGTATATCAGTTGTGCAATTTTGTGCAATATCGGTAAAATAAAATATATATTTTTGTAAAAAATGTGTATCTCAATGCATTATGTACTAAAATACCCACCTTTTCTTTTGTATTGGGTTTGTTGAACGTCCATATTGCCCAAATCAGCAAGGACCTTCTTTACATGTTCCAATTAAAAACGACGGAAATGGATGGAAACAGGTTTTATTTGATAGAAAACTCACACTTTTATAAAAACACAATTTTTCCAATGACTGGAATCATGGTATAATAATAGAAGGTAACTAGTGTTGTTGTACAAAAAAACGATACAACAACCACATGGAAATTTGTTGTTGTAAGTTCTACTAGTGTCAACTCCTTTGACAGAAAAATGTAAACAAATTATCATCAAATTATTTTTATTTTGAAAATGAAATATTTTCGAATCCTCAAAATAAAAATTGAAAAACATGAATGAAAATCTATCAAATTTATATTTCTATCGCTTCCACATCTTTCCTATAATTGAGCCATTTGCCAATTTTCCTGTTGGGTGATTTTTAAAAACATAATTTGTCAAATTCATATTGACACTAGTATTACGTTGGAATCAAATCAGCTGGGATTTGCTGTTACCTTTTATAATTGTACCATGGACTGGAATTCTAGTTTCAAACAATCGAAAATACACATTTGGCCTGTTCCCGTACTGCAAGAATCTACTACGTTTTACTACGATAATTTTCCTTTAAGATATCGAAGAAAATATTAAAATCTAGTAGATTCTTGCAGTACGAGAACAGACCAATTTTAAATATTAAAAATATTCAAATGTATACGCAATGCGTATTTTGCTGACTTCATGGGAGAATTATACAAGATAGGACAACTAGAGGTGAATAACAGAAAATATATATAGGTAGTGGTTTCTTCTGTCAACACTTGAACAAATGAATGAACGGTTATGAATTCTTCTCAAAATCCTGTAGAGAATACCATAAACTGTTTGTTTCATCCATAACAAAGTAATTACTTCCGGACGAACGCGTTATGGTCCTCAAATACTATACTGCTGATGAGCCCCTGTGTACATGTGTGCTTGAATAGTGTGACTCTTCAATCATAATTACAAAAGTTGTCTTTATAACACAAAAAATGCTATTTTGTATTAAAATTGTATTTACTTTATTTCAACACGTACATATCCTTTTTAGTCCTGATTTAGATTAGGCGAGTTTACTTGCAGCAATTCTTATCGTTCTCTTTTGAACTTGCTTAATGCGTCTATACATGGCAAGTAAACGGCATATACATTGGAACATTTTACCGGGTTAGCCTACATTATGAGGATTTATTTGACATATATGCAAAGGAATTGACAATTGAAACCCACTGGGTTAACGAAATCCGGTTAAATGTTAACGTACTATTAGGGTTCCAAACTATTTTTTTGACATTTTGTGAATCTTTTTTATTTTTGTGGAAAGAAAATTGAATTTGAAATTGCAATTGAATAAAACAACATCAAAGGAATTCTAGAAATATGAATACAGCAGACAAAAATACTCTCGTTGAAAATGTTTTGGATTGGTATTTCAAATTTCAGACTCTACAAACAAAATACACAAAACGAATTGCCAGAAAATTGTTGGCACGAACAATTTTTCCCCATTTCTATTCTTCTTGCCCCTCTCTCCGGCAAACAAAGACTTACCGCAAGTATACTCGCAAAAAAAAAAACAAATTTGACAACTTATGGTCTGTTCCCGTACTGCCCGGATATACTAATTTTTACTATTTTTTCTGATATCATAAAGGAAAAACTGTCATCGTAGTAAAATCTTTACATTCTTCCAGGTTTTGGAACAGACCATTAGAAAATTAACAAAATTCACCGCATTGAAAGGGGGTCATTATCAAAATCAAAACTTTTTGGTTTTCGTACTGCATGAAATTATCACACATATGTTTTCATAGTGACATAAAATTACTAATACTACTTCAAAATTTGCCTGCATGCTTATGGTTTGCAGCATGCTGCAATAATATGGTGTGTATCAAAACAAAAACCTTTGCTATAATAAATAAAATTTTAAATCAAGGTTTATTCATAAGGTTACCGGCAGGTAAATTCTTTCTTAGTCTTCTCTTACTATCAACTTTTTAATCGCCAAATACAAAGCAGAACAGTATAAAAATTCCAAATATCTTTCAAAAAAGCGTATTGATAAGATTGTGTAGGACTATTCTGTTTCGAATAAAAATATTTTTTGTTTATTTATTCTTTGAAATCGCCTCCTTGTTAACCTTATGAATAAACCTTGTTTTAAATAAAAAAAAATATTTTTAATCAAAATATCATTTTTTGTGCAAAAAATTCCATCACTCTGTTTTCACATTCCTTCGTTTTGTTTAGCCCTAAAATTGTTATTATTTTCCAGTGATTGAAATGAGCCAGGGGCATCATTTCAATATGATTTGCAAAAAATATGCAAGTAACCGATTGATTCACAAACTTGGCCACACTTTTTATACTCCACGTTTCTTTCCGGTTGTCGGATTTTGGCAAGCAGATCTTTTGGCTTACGGACCAGATATATTTTTAAGTTATTACTTATATTTTAAAACAAATAAACAGACATGGCTTTCGGTGATGTTAAAACCCCACAAGGTCTTAAGGAATTGAACGAATTCTTGGCCGACAACAGCTACATCAGCGGGTAAGAGTCAAAGTGACAAATTGAGGTTATGGCGGAACGTAAACGTCGGCAATTTTTCGATTATAATGGAATTTGAATTTTTTGCTTTTGCAGTTATGAACCAACCAAAGCTGATCTTTCTGTGTTCGAAGCCTTAGGTAAGGCTCCATCTGGTGACTTCCCCCATGCTCTTCGTTGGTACAAACACATTGCATCTTTCGATGCTACCGAAAAAGCTGCCTGGGGTGGTGCTCCTCTTCCACAAACTGCCGGTGCCAAACCCACAGTAGCCGATGATGATGATGACGATGTCGATCTATTCGGTTCCGATGATGAAGAAGAAGATGCTGAAGCCGCCAGAATCCGTGAGGAACGTGTTGCTGCTTATGCCGCCAAGAAATCCAAGAAACCCGCCTTAATTGCCAAATCTTCTGTCTTGTTGGATGTCAAGCCTTGGGATGATGAAACCGACATGAAAGAAATGGAAAAGAATGTTCGTACCATCGAAATGGACGGTCTGTTGTGGGGTGCCTCCAAATTGGTTCCAGTCGGTTATGGTATTAACAAATTGCAAATTATGTGCGTCATTGAAGACGAGAAGGTTTCCATTGATTTGTTGACTGAAAAGATTCAAGAATTCGAAGATTTCGTACAATCTGTTGATATTGCTGCCTTCAACAAAATCTAAGGTGTTACTATCTGTGGTTTCAAATAAAACAATGAGATTTCTTTTATAATTTTGAGCAAGAAAAAAAATAGACTTGTGTTTTAATTTAATGATTGTATGGTTGGACTTAAAAAGAAAGAGAGTTATATAAAAACTGGATAATTGGTTGACGTCATTGACGATTTCAGTAAAAATGTGTTGAGAATTTAAATTTTAGTTTTTTGTTAAATATTTGAAAAAAAATCGTTCTTAAGGATGCTACCAAATTATGTCTCAATGATGACATCATCAGGGCGGATTAAGTAGGCCACATAATCCCGAATGTTCTCCCGTATTTATTAATATACGAGTTGTAAATAAACAACATTTTTGTCTTTTTAAGTAGGAAATTGAAAGTGCTGAGTAGTTTACGTAGAAGGAAAGAGGAATGTTGCAAATAATAAATGGAAACGTCAATTATTCTGTATAATTTTTTTCGACAAAATTAAATTCTATAAATGTTTAATTATTGTAACAGTTCGTTCGGTCGGTCGAATTCGATCGAATTGAGGCTTGATAGTAACCTCAGTTGAACATGGTATGTAGGTATATGATATATTAATAAAAGTTCCCTCCTTAGTTTTTATTATACAAATATTTTCTTAAAAATGTTCATGTTGCTTTCTTTTTCAATTCAATTCAATTTTATTTCTTAAACGAGAACCAAGCCCAAACTTGATTTTTTTAACATACAAAATAATTAATATTTAACAGAGTTCATTGGAATTGGTTTAGACTAGGAAGAAATGGGATGTTTTTGTTTCGAATAGGGAAATGTCAATAAAAACTATTATTTGTTGAATGAAGATATTAAATTAATAAATATTTTACATTTTTAAGACATAATCATCCCGTTCAATATTTATTAAAGTTTCCTGCTGGGCTTGTTATTGTACGTTAGCTTAAACTCTCAATTAAAGTTTGTCTCTTAAGTCTTTTGTATGATAACGTTTAAAAAATACAGCTTAAATAAGCTTCAACAAAAAAGCTTTCAATACAAATTTTGTTGAAGTGATTTAAAAATCTACGAAAGCGAAAAAATATTTTAGTTTTAAAGCATTTATCAAGAGCTGAGGTTCACTGCGTGCACATTTTAGAGGTGTTGTCGGAATTTTCGTTGTAACGAAAAGTGTTAAAATAATAAAAAATTATATATAATTGTCGAATAAACAATAGAACAAAATGTCCAATAAAAGTTTTTATGCCTTGACTGTGGCCATTGTTGTGTGTTTGGCAATGTTTGCAATAACTCTTGCCCAAGGTATGTAAATAATAGCAATATTTTGATGAGTATTTTATTTTATTGGAAATATGATATGATCGATTTATGCATTTATAATCAGCGATGAAAAATCCAGTTTTTTGTGAATATTCTAAGATTTCTTGAAATGTATTCTTTGATATGATTCAATCGGTTTATTTTTATATTGATCAATCAGTTCTATATCTTGTGGGTTTTTGTTTTTTGAATATCAAAACAAATCGTTCGTTCATGAGTAACAATGAAAATTAAACTCGTTTCTTTTCTAATTCAAATGAATTTCTTTTGATTATTAACATCATTGGTTTATTAACAATTCAGTGCAAATTAACCGGTGTTCTATAGCGGATACGTACAAAAACGTAGACAGACTATTGTTGTTTTTTTCTTTCGTTAAAAATTGTAAATTCCACATGTTTGGGTGGTTAGTGAATGAAATTGTATTGCATAGCCGTAGACAATGTACAAGTTCATTGTTTATTATTTAAGTTATTATTATTATTGGTGGGAAAATTACAAAAACAAAAATAACTTTTATTGAGTAACAACAATACTACTGTTGATTGTATGAAATTTATGTTTTATGATGTGTAATGTAATACACTATTATTAAAAATAATTTTTAGTAAAATAAATATTCTGTTTCGAACTACTGTTCAGTTTAAGATTCTACTGTTAATGAATTAAATTGGCTTCAAACTAATATATAAAAGATAATTATCTAACAACAATTTAAGTCGAAACAAAAGTCATGCAACATTAAATCGAAACTGCAATAGGATATATTATTTCAGGAAAAAATCCCAAACTTTTATTGATATCAATCTCAAAGCTTTATGTTTCATTGGCGTATGAGAGGGATTTCCCAAAAAAAAACCTATAATACTGGGTAAAAAATTCCAAAAAGATCTAAGCAATTCTATGGAAATATTTATTAACAAGAATTATGTTAATTAGAAATTCATAACAATCTATATATTGAGTTTTTCTTATCGAATGACATTAAAAACAAAACAACAAAGGTTAAAGAACTCCAACAAAAACAAACAGCGACCTAGAAACCATTAATATTTTTTCATGTTAAACAAGTTATGGATGTGGGTTTAATAATAAGCTCACGTCTCAAAAATGAAATTGTTTAATTATTTCTTCTTTAAAAATTGGTCATTAAAACATTAATTCAATAATTGTAAAGCCGATTATGTTAACACATAAAAAGAAAGAGAGAAGAAATATAGATTATTTAACATTATTTGACGCCCACACCTTCATAAGCCGTATTAGTTTTTTTTTTTTCAATTGAAAATCAATTTGTATACAAACAATTTTTGATTGTTGATTCAATGAAAAAAAAAACAATGACTAAGATTTTTTTATTTAAAAAATAATCCATTTTGCATTCACAGCATGTTCCTGTCAAAAAAAAGAGAAACCAGATCATTATTTGTTTTGTTAAAATTCCGATACATACATTTTCTCGTAAATAATTTTGAAAAAGAAATTTGACTTTCGGCAATTTGCATCTCCGTAAACATTTTGGTATTCATTTCACATAACAAATTGTCAATAATTTATTATACATTGTAGGAAGAAATATTGCAGTTTGTTGTAATGATGTTATATTCGAAATGTCGTTAGGGTTATTTAACTTTGCCAATTTTAAATTGATTGTCACAGTACAAGGGGGGCATTACAGTGTTTTTCCTCTTTTAATTTATAAATATTTTGTAAAGAATTGGTGCATATTTTCAAATTTTGTACCAAAATTTCAGAAGATATTGAATACAACTATTATATATTTTTTTAACCTTGGAGTGGGACAGAATATTCGATGTCCGAAAAAAGTATAAAGAAAGAAAGACTTTAAATCGGCCTCCTAATTTTATATTGATTGAGATAACAGCTCCATGGTGGAGTATAATTTGCAGCATTCCGCATTCTATATGTCATATTTAAAGCATTGCATTTTTTTTACAACATAATTCAGCTACATTGCATTTTATTAAATATACTCACAGTTCTAGTACGTTGACAGTGTATATAACACAAATAATATTTCCTGTATTTGCACATTTGATTATTTTCTCATGAAAAATAATCGATTTATCTTTTATCTTTTTCTTAACTGGAATAGTTTTTTCTTCTATAACATAATGACTACGATGCATGATTTATGTTGTGCTTAGAGTGGTCTACATCGTCTTCACAGAATGAAGCCTTATTTAAATTGTGAAATATTTTACCAATCAATTTCCTGGTTAGCATCCTTCTAGATAATGCAAATTACATTGGCCTCTATGAAGGTCACAAAAAAACCCGCCGTCATTCTTTGGAAATGCAGTTCCACCACTTGGCATGCCTCTTGAAAACATGCTTACGTTAAAAATGCACATCCATCCATCCGACCATTGGCTAAAGAGTGTGCTTTACGTTATTCTGTTATTAGCATCCATAGCGAACGAAGCTAGCTAGAATACAGTTAAATGACTACGGATGTTGGTTGTCAGGTTTTGGAAAAGTTGCAAAACTTGTTGCTGTTGTCATTCAAATTAAAGACATATCCACAGATTGTTCAACGAAGATTCGGACGCACTTCAGGCATATTCCAAGCATCAATAAGCCAGCCATCCAGCCAGTTAGCCGGCAAACAAGAGTAATGATCATTTTACTCAAGGTTCAGGGGCGTTCATGATCAACTAAAATTTAGTATAGGAAAAGAGATTAAAAAATACAAAAGGAAATATAATAAAAAATACATACATACAGATATTGTAATAGTTGGTAGTGTTGATATTGGTCCAAGTTTTTTCTTATGATATAACGTCATCAATGCAATAAAAATAGTAGTAATTCTTTGTTGATATTCGCATTCAAAGCTTTATTCTATAAAAACATTTCAAATCCGACAGGAAGTTGTCATTGTTTATTTAAATTAATTTTTTATTTGAATTTGATAGGTGTCCTCACTGTATTTCGGAGGCCAATAGTGTAGAGATATTTACATAGCTTGTCGATTAGCATCTTCGCTTATGATTAATTGTAAGCCTCTGTTTATTGAAAACCAACTAGAGATCTTTATTAAATTGACACTAACAAATGATTTGTTTGTGTTTAAGTCAAATGTAATAATATATGAAACTATTGCACAGCGTTTTTTAAAATGTGTTTAATTTTTATTTTAATTCCGTTTTAATATTTTCTGCTGCTGTTTCTTAAATGTTTACAATAAATTCGATTCCAGTAATTTCGGCTGAATATAAACAAGATATTTAAAAGAATTTCAAAAATATTTAAGATGTCAATAATCCCTGCCGATATACCAAGTTACGTCTAGCAATTTTAATACCATTTTATTTATTCTTCAAAACAGATTACGGGCAATGAAATTCCAAATTTATTGATTTTAGTGCTACATTTGATTGGAGAAATTTCATATGGGAATTTATACAAATAATAAATATTCGATTCAGTATACCCCCATTCACTGATCAAACAAATATTATAAATATTTTACGTTGACAAGATGAACACAAACAATAACAACAAAACTTGATATTGATATTCTCAGAATATTCAAATCAAATACTGGCATATGGGGAAAGATGAAAAAATAAACGCAAATAGAATTTAGGTCACCCCAAAACGCTGATAACACAAGGTGATGCTGGATGAACTACCACTACTACTCAATTCTACGTAAACCGTGTTAGCCAGTCATAATAAAAATTCTAAAGAATAGAGAATTCATATAGTTTATTATATAATTGCAATGTATACTATAAGTTTATTGTGTATTTTATTAGCTAATAATAAGTAAATTTCTATTATGTTATCAACAAACTTGAAATTAAAAAAAAAAAAATTATTATTGACATTGAAATGTTTTTGTTTGCTTTGTTGTATTTGTTTTCTCTAGAGAAACCTGTGACAGATATTTGCTTGGGTTGCATCTGTGAAGCCTCATCGGGTTGTAATCAAACCAATTATTGTGCCGGTGGTGTGTGTGGTTTGTTCCGTATCACCTGGGCCTATTGGGCTGATGGTGGTAAACTTACCATTAATGGTGAACCTGCTGAATCGGAAACTGGTAGGTTAAACATTTTATTATTAATGTTTATTTTAATAATTATTTTTGTTGTTATTGTTTCTTCTAGCCTATGCCAATTGTGTAAATGATCCTTATTGTGCTGCCAATACCATTCAAAATTATATGCTTAAATATGGTCAAGATTGCAACAAGGATGGCGTTGTCAACTGTTTCGATTATGCTGCCATTCACAAATTGGGAGGTTATGGCTGTGGCGGTGATTTACCCCACAAATACGCCACTGATTTGGAACTTTGTTTGAAATCGTATGGTGCTAATTAAAAGTGATAATTAGAATTAAATGAGCAAACTTCGCCATTCATTTTTTTTAAATGTATTTTAAGTTTTTTATATGTATCGAACATAATTTAATAAAAAATCAGTAAACTTATGCCTACATAAATATTTAAAAAAACACAAGCCTTTAGAATTTTATCAAATTTGGGATGGTTTACATAGTGAGTATAATTATTATAGTCAATAATTGTGGGTTCAAGCGGACGAAATATAAAACCGGATACTAAAAGTTTATTTACCTCTTCGCCGTTGATAACATTATTTGAGGCACCTGTCCAGTCTGATATATTATTATATGTAAAGCAGGAGGTTTTAAAATTGGCGGAATCTAATATTTTTTGGATCTTAAAAATTAATATATATTGTAAAATGTTCATCGCAACTCATTTAAAATTAAAAATAAGTAAATATGTACAAATCATTTACTGATTTGTTAACATATGTGGACTGTTCCCGTAATGCAAAAATTTACTAGATTTAACTCTTTCTTCGATATCATAAAGGAAAATTCGGTATCGTAGTAAAAAGTAGTAGATTATTGCAGTAGGGAAACATACCAATGTTTAACTTACCTCATGGCTAATATATTTCACCAAGAAATAAATAAAATTTAGAAAATATTTTGTAACTAAATAACATGGCATGTTTTTTTATTCTTTTTCATTTTATATATTTTGTTATGTTTTTTATACATGTTTTCATATGTATATTTTTGTTGTTGTTGTTTTCTTGTAATTTATTTGCATATTTCATCTTATGATCGACTGTTATATATATTTCATTATTATTATTTTTTTTAGAAAAAAACATTGCTTTTCATTTTTTTGTTATAACATAATTTGAGTAATGTCTTTTACGAACTTGATGAACTTCTTCAATAATGGGTTAATGGTTTCATTTTTGTGGGGAATCTAAATATATATTTTTTTAATGTTTATTATTTTTTTATAATTCAATTTGTTTTTCAAACCCGATTAAATATGAAATCTACTTTAGAATATAATTAATTTAATAAATAACTTATTCGGTTTTTTATTGTTTAATTCTAAATAAAAAATATATTTTTTTCCAATAACACAATTGAAACATTTGTTTGTTTTTTTTTGCTTGGTTAAAAATCGATTTTTGGGGTACATTTTTTTTGTTTAAAAACGTTTTTTTATTCTATAATAATTATATATGTGATTTACTTCATGTTTTATTATATAAATAATTAACATTATTCAAATTCTAAAAGATCTCTAAATATTGTTTCTTCAATTTATGCAAATTTATTAACTGGGTTAACAATTTTTAAATTGTTTTTTTTCCCTTTGTAATTTGTTTATTAAATAGTATTAATTTGTTAATATTAAACAACCTTTTCTTAATGGAACATTATTACAGAATTTTAAATTTATTTTTATTTTTTTTTTTTTGTATAAAAAAATTATTACAAAATGTGTCGACGAGGGAGGGGGTTGAATATAAAAACAAACATAAATAAAAATACTTTTTGTCCTGAACTCTCTTCTACAAGAGCTGTGCAAAAAGTTAATTTTCTCAACTAAAGAAAATTAAATCATTTGGCACTCCTTTCAGTGTGTGCGAGTGTGAGTGTATGTGTGCAGTTGTGTTAGATTGACAATGATGATGGTGATGTGTTATTACGAAAACTTGGCTTTATAACAGTTTTTCTTTTAGAAATTTTTTAAATATGATACAAAACAAGTTCTTTTATTGTTGTTGGGTTTTCTGTCAATTGCAAAAAAGTGTCAAAACCATTGTTTATTTCCTTGAGGAGTTTTAAAAGTGGAATTTAAATAAAACAAATACAATTAAAATAAAATTAATAAAAAAATAAATTAAAATTATAACTAAAATAAAATTGTGCCTTTTGTATAAGCCCTATTCATAATAAATCCGTGCGATTTAAAAGGGTGCAATTTTTAATACAAAAAATTATTAATTAGGAAGAAATATGGGATCGGAACAGATTAAAATTAAATTAAAAAAAAACCCAATTGTAAAACAATATTCCAATATTGTTTATTGGAACAATGACTAGTGAATTTTGGCATTAAGAGAAATTTCTAAATGGAAAATGATTTCTTTAAGAAAATGGTTGTATTTTATCAAAACGAAAAAATTGATGATTCATTAATTTTTTTAAAATTTTTAATGGATAAAAACTCGTTGTTATTTAATATCTTATATAATATGACAATAGTTAGTGGTCATTTTTTTTAATTGTTGAGAAATAAATTAGGGATTAAAACATATTTCTAGTTCACGATAAAAATATGTGGGTTTTTTGTGGTTAGAAGGGAATTTCCATAATGATTGATTTGTTTAACAATAATTTTGGAACTTATAAAAAAACAAATAATTTGTTAAACCTAACCTTACATGATGAAAATAACCCCATACTATATTCATACATATGTATATTACACATGTATATATATTATACACCCTATTCCCTTTAATATCACGTATAAGGTTTCCATTTTTGCAAAGCATATTTAGTTTCAAGCTTATCTTTGTTTGCTTTCTAATTGCTTTACTTCTTCATCTTAACTCTATTTTTTGCTATTGCCATCGTGTGCTAACAGCAGTTCCTTGGCTTCTTTTTTACTTTTCTTCTTTTCCTCTTTGGCCATGAGTTTTGCTAAGCGTTCTTCTTCTTTGGCGAGACGTTTTTCTTCCTGCGATATTGAACAACCAGACGATTTAGTCAATGACACTTTAAGAACCAAAAAAAAAGAGGTGATATTTACCTTCCTTGCTTCTTTGTCTGCTTTCAATTTAAGTTTTTCCTCCTTCCGTCGTTCGACTGATTCATTTTTCTTATTGTCTGACTTTTCTTCTGCAATTCACATTAAGAGATAAGTGTACAGTTAATCCATAATCCGATTAGATTTAAACAAAAGTTACTTTGAATTACACGGCAATGAGTTAGGTGGTGGGAGGAAATATAAAAAGGTGGATGTGAGTTTTGAAAGTAATCTTTAAATAAACCGAAATATATACATATGAGATTTTCAAAATGTACTTGATGATCAATGAGAAAAAAGTATGTGTTTGGAAAATATAAAAATGATCAGAAACCCTTTTGAAGCCATTAATAAATGGACAGGTCAGAGTCAAAGGAATACTTCGATATATATATATATATATATATCGATTAAGGATATTATATAATGATGATTATACTGCAATTCCTATATCTTCTTTATATCTATAATCACTTCTTCTTTTTCTTCTCGCCTTTACCAATCGAATTACATTTTCTTTGTGTGGGAAATATCCTTTTAATAAATCCTATTTTTATTTTCTTTTCAACTTTAAACAATGCAATTCTTTTGTACATTCTTTTTTTGAAAATTTCCACAAATGTTTAAAACAAAATGTATTTTTTATATGCTCTCCCAAGAACAATAATAAACAACAACAAACGAATAAACAAAACACAAAAACAAATCTAAAGAAAATTCTACTTACTGTGATTATTGTTGTTGCAGAACAATGGAAAACTTTTACTTGTGGAAAATCCAGATGTTGTCGTCGTCGCCGTTGCACTCGTTGAGTTTGACGATTGGCTATGACGACCGGATGTAGATGCGGAGGAAGATTTCGTTAGCGAAATATTGTTAGTGGAGGAGGCAGACGTTTTGTTGTGGCCAATTTTAGCCGAATTATTGTTCTTTGTGCTTTCCAAGCTCGTGTAGGTGGAGGACGATTTCTTGTCTTTGCTTTGCGAAACGCTATAAGCGGACTTCGATAGTTGATGTTTGGTGGCCAAAGGGCTAATTTTGCCATTAGCACCGGCTTTAAGTGGTGGTGGAGCCAAAGTGTTGTGGGAAGCACTAATGTGTATGTTCATGGGTCGTTTTGGTGGTGATGGAGGTTCCTTGTTGCTGGCATTGTCGTGAGAAGTTTTCGTGTAGGAAGCATAACTGAAATTAAAATAGAAAAAAAACTGTAGAAATCTGAAAACGATTTGATCTGGTCACGAACATACCGAAATCGTGGATTACTTATGTGCACGGGTGATGGATGTGGCACTTTGGCTGGGCTACGAAATTCCTTAATGGGCGGTAGACGATTCTGCAGCTCCACCAATTTTCCCTTGGTATGTCTCCTCCCAGGATAAGTGTGTGTCGATGGTGCGACATATTGATTTAGTGACGTACTTCCGCTACTGCTACTACACGAACCACTGGAAGAGGAATTGCTTAGGGATTTCAGTGGCTTCCTGGGCACGGCCCCAGAGCAACCACTAGGACAGCCGCTGTGATGCGAGTGAACATGCAAATCTTTGGGTGACAATGAACCTCCCGATGTACCCGAACCCGATGTGGAAGTTGGCGAGTGTGGTGATATGATTGGTGTGGGTGGTGCCAAGTGGTTATTCAACACCATCGATGTTTGATTATACGAGCAAGTTGTCGGCGATATAGGCGAGGCTGGTGAACACAAATCACTTGAAATGGAAGACGTTTTCGAGAATACCGAGGCTGCCGACGATGAACCAGTCGAACTCATTGAATACAGGCTATCTGATTGTGAGACCCGACCATTTGGACTACGGGGAAAACGTGAGGGATGCAGATGGAAACTGTGATGGCCACTGTGGGCATCATTCATGGAATATGAACTGGCCGAGGGGGCGACACCATCGGCCGAAACACCAACGGATGCCCAACTTTTGCCACCCATGGAATAACTGCTGGCTGATTCCTGGACAAAAAAATGGTTTCATTTATGTTAATGCAGATGTAATTATGTAGATGATTTTCAATATTACCTGTATACGCCACGTTCCACTGGATGATGTCAGCCGATTAACACGGGCCCGACAAATAACACATCGCAGGGGTAGCAAACGTTGGGCCACGGCACTTTGTATGGTCTTGACAAAACAACGACGACAAACCACACGATGACCACATGGCGATGTTTGCATTGTCGCCCGGGCATTAATGCAAATAACACATTCATCTTCTTGAGATGTAGGTGGATCTGGTTCACTTTCCTCTAGTTTACTAAGTAGTTTATCCTGGAAGGAAGACGTAATGGATGTTATATTATGTGGGTTTTTATAAAAAGAAAAATTATAAAGTAAACACTAAATTAATTCCTAAATTGTTATATGCCTAAAAGTATGCTTCAGAAATTATGTTTCAGTTAAAAGAGGGAAGAAAATGTTTATTTAATTTAACAGAGTAGCTGAGTTTTATTTTATGTTAAATATTTTTCGTATGTGTAGTCTGATTTTCTACGAGGATTTAATTTTTTTTCGGTTTATTGTTTCCGTACCCATATCTGCATTTATTTATAAAGGAAAAAATCGTTAAATTTCAAATTCTTCTATGTTCAGGAGGAAAGAGATGAAATGTGTAGGATTTGTTAAGTCCTCCTCATTGAAGACATTCCGTCTACAAATTCAGTTTTTCTGTTGGAACCTAATTTTATGACATTGGTATTTATAAACAAGTTCAAATATAGTCCGTTTTTTTATGAGAGAGATTTGACCGTCTCATCATTTATTTTGCATAACTTAAACATTAATGACCTCCTGCTACAATGTCTGAAGGCTGATAAGTTCAGACTTTAGACCAAATCTAATCTCGATTCTATCAAAACAAAAATTTCATTACTTTTACTCTTTTTGGTCAGGGCCATTAAAATGCACACCCCCTCTATTTTTAATTTGCCTCAACATGAAAATATGTTGATCATTTATACAAATTTAATGGAAGATTAGCGAAACCGACAAACAAAAGAGATTTGTAAAATCAAAACATAGCGGTTTTCTGTTATAACTCCGTTCAATGCGATTTGTTTTGGTTTTCTGCTGCTGCTGTTGTTGTAGTTGTTGTTTATTTGAGGCTTAACGAATTGTTTTAATTCCATCCAAAGCCGGTTGATTCAATTCAATGTCAAGGTATTATTACCGTTGTTTTTTTGTTTGTTGTTGTTGTGGCTTGCAATCGATGATTAGTGGTTAGGCTGAATGTGATTGGCAGGTTGGCGCCCAACAGCTTACTTTGATTAATTATTAGGAGACAGACAATTTGTTTTAATTTTTAGTTGTATTTTAATATTGGAATAGTAAGGCTATTACAGTGGAACCTTGCTCAAGTGAGAATGGAGGTGAATAAAGTGAGGTTATGTAGAGGAATGGTTTGATTGTGAGAAATGGATTGATACGAATTGTTAATATGAAATTTAATGAAACAAAGTAAGTGTTTTTTATGTAGAGGTTCCACTGTGTTGTGTAGCACTGTGCGTAGCATAGTAGTAACATAGTATTATTAATGATTGTAATCCATCAATTTGTTGTTATATTGAAAGTTAAAAATTATATAGGATATTTATGATGGTTGAAAATCATTGTGACTTGGCATATTAAAGTGTGGCATAATTGCCATTCAACCTTGGAAATTTTCTGAGTAATGTGACAAATTTTGAATAATAAAAAAATACTTCGTACATATATCTTTTTCCCATTAATTATAGCTTGTTGTGGTAATCTCAACAATGTCTGTGCATTATATTTCACATAAGTAGCTATCCGGATACTCAATTTTGATTTTTTTGCTGTCTACTCCAATGCAGGGTAATAACCTTTTGTTTCACACTTGAACTTCATTTTGTGAACTACAGGGAGACGGTGTAAACAAAACAAGTTTTGTCATTTAGCACATATTGTTGTTGTTTTATTTTATTTGTATTGGGATTTTCAGTAGTATTTATTAAACTATTTTCTATTTCTGAGTTCATTAATCATATCAAAGTACGATTTGTTTTTTTGAAATTTTCAATCAATAAAATTTAAATTTAAAATTTTAGTTTTAATTGCGTTCCATTTTGGTATAGCAGCTGTATTGATGTGCTAACAGCTAAGACCTTAGCTTGAAGTATGTGGTTACATTTGAAATGACCTTTGTTTTTTGTTTTATATTGACTTTGTATTAAACCGCCACAATAAATATTTATTTGTGTGGTTTAGAGTTTGTGTCAATATCTTGGGTAAATAATAGTTAACAATAGTTAAAATACTTTTTTTTACAAATAGAGTGAAACGTGAACATCTGTCGTGTATTCTCACGTACAGATTAGTTAGTGGCACAACTATTTAAAATTTTTATGAAAAATCGTTTTAAATATATATAAACAAATATTTTTAAAAATAATTGTATATAAACTTCAGCTGGACTCTTAATACAAAGGAGACATTCTACAAAACCTTCTATAGATGAAAAACTTTCATAAATTCTCATTTTGGTAGAAGACGATTTATAAGGAAGACGATTTATCTGAAATGATAAAGTCATTTTTATATTTCGAAACGAAAGGTATACAATGAAACTCAAAATAATTATAATCAAAAAATAGCAACATGTGTTTCAAAAGAACCACCTCAAGGTCATTTCGTTTAGTTCTTACGAATTGTTCTTAATAATTCTATAGAACAATACGTCAGCAACTAACATAGAGTTAGTTTTTTTACAAATCATTGTGACTAGGAAATTCTGATTAGTTCCTAGATTTTAATATAAAGCAAATCCCCACAATATGTTTCAAAATGTTCTAGACATGCGGAAATAGTTAATGACTGAAATGATGTTATGCCAAGTTTTGTTTATATTTTATTTTAGCAAAAAAAAAAAATAGATATTTTAAAAATAAGTTAGTATAGCCGACAATTTTCTAAGGAGAGCAATAAAAATTTACAAATCTAATTAACTATGACGGGCACGTTTTAATTTCGTTATTTATGCGTTCCAAACCGATACGGAACTACGTGAGTTTAATAAAAGAAAATTTCGTAGTATTTTTTGCTAATTTTATTCTCCGCTTGTGGGGTAGGCAACAGGCGTCGTTTATGGTTTAACATAAAAGAAGTGACAAAAGCACGCGACTACCGCTTTATAGGAAATTCTTGTATGTTTGTATACATTTACATATTGGCTAGCAATTATTGTTAACAATAGCTGTGGTGAATAACAAAAATACAAAAAAACAAAGATTTTTTTTATTAAAATTTAAAGGCTTTTTTAACGGCTGAGGAACATGTTATGCTTTGGTTTGGTTTTGTCTTTTTTTGGCAAAAAAAAAAAAACATGTATTGAGGTTACAATATTGTAACATTTTATTTTCCATGGGAGTGCTGTTTCCCGCTTATTTACAATTATTTATTTTTGTTTTGTTTTGTTTTTTTATCTTCCGCTTGATTAAGCACAACAAATTGGTGAACACCCTCTTATTGTTTGGTAATTAAACAATTAACATTTTTGTTCTTGTTGCAAGAGATATAGATATGTGTTTGAACATGCGATATTGTCTGTTGTTATGTGCTACCGTCTGTCTATACCGCTCAATTCATCATCATATAACTATCCGTCTAATGGACTTTGTCCGTCCGTGCGGCCATTCATTTTCATCCGTTACGCATAATTTGTTATTGCTTGTAAGTTTGAAGTTCGTGTCTTAAGTCTTTTGTTTTTTTTTTCAGTTTGTACAACCGTAATATCTCATGTTATTTTTCGCTTTAAATGAATTCTTTGAATTAGTTTTTTCAATACATATACTAAAATGTTTTGGCTCTTCTCATTACGTTATTCTCAACCAAAAAAAAAATATTTAGCTTCCTATGCTAACTTTGCTGGTTACGTCTTAAACATTCTATATTTTGCTAATAATACACATGTCTTTATGTTGTTTTCTTTGTTGCACACCAGCCAACAACAAATTTCGTTTGTGGTTGTTGCTTTATAGTATTTATTTATTATTGCTATTGTTGTTGGATCGTTAAATCAACAACGTGGTGGCTTGTGCTGGGGGTTGGCGCTCTTGGCTTAGCAAGCTAGCTAGCTCGCTGGCTGGCTGGCTGACTATCTGTATTTTCATTATTTGTTTTGTTTTGCCATTTCGCAAGTTTTTATAGCAATCAGTTTGATTTGAAACGCGTATTGAATTGGTTGTTAAGAATATTTGTTATTCTTTTAAGCTCTGACAAGAATTTTGTGTGTTTTTGCTCGGCAATATTACGAAAATATTTTTATTAATAAGAAATTATACAAATTTATTAAGTGTTTAAAGAAAAATTAAAAGAAGATAAATATAAATTATATGTATTAAATAACATTAAAGTGAATATATAAATTTGTGAATTATGAAAAATCAGTGATATATTAGTTGCAGAATTCGAAGTGTTGTTTTTTTTGCCTTAAAAGTATATTGTAAAGAAATAGTAAAAAATTAAAATGACTTTACCCGCCACATCTGCTTTGTGTAGTATCTTCACATTGTTAATTGGTAAATAAATGAAATTTTCAAATATATTGAATTTTTTTACTTCAAAGGACTCTGATTTAATAAAAAGTGTTTTACAAAAATCAAAAATGAAGAAGAGAATTTTCTAAGAATAAAATATTGTCCTTCGAATCTGCTTTAAATTTCATAAAATCAAACACAAAAAAAAAAACTTTATAATGTGGATAATATATTTGAATACCTGAAATATCCAAATTATTTATTTGAAAATGAATTTATTGGAAGATTTTTTGGAAGTGTGATTTAAAATCGGAAAAATATGGTGGTCATACAAGTAAAATATGACGAAAATAAATATGCTAAATATTTAATTTGGGACATTTGGAGGAGAGTTCAGACACAAATCACGGAAAAGTGATATTTAAGAATAAAAATGGAATACAGTAGTCCATGATTTGATATAGCCTGCATAAAAGGAATGTCTTTGCAAAAAATATAGTGTCGTTGTATATTGACGTATTTCCCAACTAAAGTAGCGGAATTTTCACGTTCCAGATTTTTTGTCAGAATACAATTACTTATCAGAGAAGGTTTAGTATAAGCAAATATTTTGACATAGTCTCCACATAAAGGTCTCGACCAGTATCACTGGAGCCCATTGTCTGTGGTCGAAAATTACGTATAGGGACGATAGCCCTTGGCGAGTATTTTAAGAACTCAGAAAAGCTTTTTAATTATGGCATGATTATTGTTTATGAACATATTGCAGGTTAGTTTTGAGATTAAATGTCTGTAATCTAATTTTAGAATATATAAAAAATAAATAAATAAAAATCTGAAAGCAAAGTTTTTTGACCTCCAAATATTCTACAAAGATTAATGGTCCTTAAAGACAAGAAATACATAGTCGTATGTTTTCATTGCTCTTTTCTACTTATGCTAGTGTAATGATAATTCTGAACAATATTTAAGGATGTGGAGTGTGAATTTTTAGTGCATAACCTAAAACCGACTACTTTTGTCAGTCTAATGTATATCCATATAAATTTAGACCTTTATTTTTTTACCTTGGATACTTATCAGAATTAAAGTTTGAACATTTGAAACTCTTAATGTTAACAGTTTTGGAAAATTTTATAATGAGTGCGACCTGTAGTTTATTAGCAGTTAATAACGGATAGACGATAAAGAATTTGAGAAATGTCGGTCGTTATACAAAAATACGGACTAGACAAATAAAATTATAAAAAAAATTGTGTGTCAGTCTCATGTTAGTTTAAAGTAGAAATATTACTCATGTGATTCCCCTTCACTGACACCCCTTAAACTCATTAAATAATTAAAATAAAACCGGTGCTTTTTTGAGAATCATTCCCTTACTAAGCACTTAATCGAAACTTCCAAGAGTACATGTAAACAGATTTCTCGGTTTTTGCTAATTCTCTCAGCATACATATTTGTAGAGAGAGGGACTCTCTACAAATATGTCTGCTGATTTTGAATGACCGATATCTAATTTTTATACATATTTTTTTTTATACCGAAAACAACATTAATTATTTATATAACTTAATTTAAATAAAGTTTTTCTTTTCACCGTTACCATTGAACTCTTTACCGGTATTTAACACATTGACATTCTTATTAAGCTAAAAAAAATTTATATGTTCTCAAATCATTATCTGCCCAACGGTACCATTCACTTCTTGATAGATTTTAGGCCTTGTTATTCGAAAATGTATTGTATTTATTTATTAATTCTTGCCCATGAACTTTTTCAAATTTTGTTAACTTCACACAGCATTGATCTTGTTTTGATTGTAGAACTATTGAATTAAAACATCTTTTTTTTTTTGAATAAACAAAATCATCTGATCGATAGATAAATCGTTAGACAATCTTTGATTTGTTTTCTAATTTCCATATTAACAATTTTTTTGTACTAACAATTTGTGACGTCGTCGTTGCAGCCAGCAACTGAGCCAACAGTGATCATATTTAGACCGGCTATTATTATTTTTGTCATTATTATGGTCAGTCGTGACCATAAAAGTGTTAATTTAATACACATTAACCGGCAAATGAATAAATACAACATTAAACAAAAAATTATATTTCCGCATTTTTAGTTTTTTGTTGTTTTAGTTTTGCTTAATATGTAGATGGAGAGCCAGATAATCGAATGGATGGACGGCCGAGTGTATGGGCATAAAATAAAAGAAGGTGCAAAAGAAATACAAAACTCCATGAGACAGATTAAAGATGATCTTTTTTAATGAAATAACTTAACAAGCCATTAATATTAAATGTGAGAAAAAAAGAGATACACAGACAACAACACAGTGTGTGTTTAATATGCATGGATTATGGTTATGTGTAAAATATGACGTCGTTACTATTACACTAGACTACAAATATAAGAAATAAAGTTAAGGGAATGTGAGACATAGGGTTTTGACATTGAGATCCGCATTAGTTTTGAAATAATAGGCCGAGTACGCTTTATAAATCAGTGTATATTAAAGATTTTCAGCTATAAATTTGACTCCCAACAACTTTGGGGACATACGTTCAAACGTGTTTATTCAATCTACATTTCGAAAAAGTGGATTATTTTTTGTAGTTGTAGCCTTGTGTCATTGTCAAGGTCAGTTATTTTCACACTCAACTTTCAATCCGAATTTCATATCAAACTATGAATGGATCGTGGCATATTGACAGCGAATTCTGCATGACTTTGGCATTTCATTGAATGTGCATTCAACAACCTTAGAGAATAGCATTGACTAATGCAACGAATTTTGTGATAAAAACAAAACAGATAATTACCCAGCAGACAAGCCTTTATTTCATGGTGGTCTTTGAATGTCTTAACAATTTCTAAGCAAATAACTCAAAAAAAAAAAAAAAAAAAAAATGAAAATCACGTTTTTTACAATGTGTGAATAAATCTATAATTAATTTTGTTGTTAAAATAACTATGAATTCAATTGTTGTTTTTGCTATTTTCCCTACACAATATGTGTGGTAGCCAAACAAAAAGTGAAAAAAAATCTGATGACTTTGTCGCAAAATGTTTTGGTTTGTTGACCATTTCTGCAAACCGGTTTTCAGCTAATTTTTTTTCAAGTTCAGGGTGTTAAGCTAATTGTAAAAGGTTTATGACACCGTTTTAATTGCCACTTTAATGTACTAGAAATAATGTTTTTAATTATATTTTCTTCTAGCTGGTTCTCCAATATTTTATAGCCCTACACCAAGAGGATTTTGTTCGAATTGTTGCCAAATTAAAGAACGTGATGATATTAAATTTATGCTGTACACAAGGTAAGTTGAAACTATATAGAAAATAAAATACAATTGTTAAGGGTTTCTATTAAATTTTTTCTTCGATACCACAAGGCGAATTGCCTTTGGTCGCTGTAATATGCTGGGTTCTGCCCAAATCCTCCCACATTTATTAAGGATTTCTAATATCTACGCTTATTCAAAAAATCAATATCCATCTCTTATTTATTTAATATTTTTAATAACCACTTTCATTATTGTCATTGAAAAAAATATACGTAAAAAATCCAAACCTATTGTAGTCCTTAACATGCACACTAATTGCATACTTTAAAAATATTTTTTAATATTCTTGTCCATTACAGTTCTAGTACGTCTATTGTGGTCCTTAAAAAATTTCCAATTGTCTTTATTTTTTATTTCCCTCAAAACATCCAAAATAGCACATCCTAGTTGGAAAGCAAAATATATCCATTTTCATCTGAATTTCCCTAAACACCAATCAGTTCTTTCATTCATTCATTAATCTTTGTCATTTCCCTTCTCCTTTTCGTTATTTTTTATTGAAGAAAAAATCCATTTAAGGCCCAAAATCTATATCTGAGCGATGATAAACGTTTGCGCAAAAGCAATTTTAATTTCAATCATCCTTTGGTCATTTATTTGCACGGCTTCTCCGAGTCGGCCATAAGCGAACGCCAAAGCAGTCAGGAGATGAAAGATGGTAAGATGAGACAGAACTAAACAAGTTATGGCAATTTGATTTTTTCCATTTCCCTTTTGATTGTGTGCGTTTGTGTTGTAATAGCTTTTCTGAAAAATGGCACATACAATGTCATACTCATCGATTGGAGTCCTCTGACCGCGGTACCTTGGTATACAAACTCGGTGGAAAATTTACCAATTGCTGCCCGTTATATGGCCCGCTTTATAAGGTTTCTCGTACAAAAAGGTTTCCCCGTTAAGGACATCCATTTGATTGGCTTCAGTTTGGGTGCTGAGGTGGCGGGATTTATTGGCCAACAGTTACAGGAATGGTCCATATTATTGCCACGCATAACGGGTAAGTGTGTCATAAGAATAACGAAAATAATTAGAAGCCTTTTTGTAAATTGAGTTTTTGCTTCGCTGTTTTTTTTATTTAATTAGGTCTCGATCCTGCCTTGCCGCTGTTCGAGGATGGCAGTTCGAATCGTCGCCTGGGACCCAGTGATGCACAATTTGTTGATATCATACACACCGACGGTGGCATTCTGGGCAATCCTGAGGCTATGGGTCATGTAGATTTCTACCCCAATGGTGGTCATGCTTTACAGCCGGGCTGTGCACGCCAGGAAATTGCCAATAATCGCTGGCTGGGCATTTTGAGTAAGTATCTTTCCAGCATCAACGACAGTGTGCATATTTCCCCCGAACCGAAGTATAAAATATTTGTCTTGTACATGTTTTTGGTTTTGTTTACTGTTTTATTTTTTTATTGGTGCTGTCGTTGGCGTTGTTGTTGTTGCTGGCATTGCTGGTGTTTGCAGTAGGTTGTAGCCATCAACGTGCTTGGGAATATTTTATTGAATCTGTCCATTACCCAATGGCATTTCCAGCCAACAGATGTGAGCCTTCGAAATTGTTTGGCACTTGTCGTGATGGTGGCAATGGCAAGGCGTTTATGGGCATGGGGGCTGATAAGAGGTAAGTTTGTGTGTGTGTTTGTTTATTTCCTTGTTTTTGGTTGTGTTTTTCATTTGGGCGGAGTACAGAGTATAGGTTTGGGAGATGATTATAATAATTTAGATGGGGGTTAGAAAATATATTGAGTGTAGAATCATTTTTATATTTTATTTAATTAATTGTAAATGAATTTTGAAATTGTTTACAGTTGTGGGAAATTTTGGGGTTAAATTTAGTGATAGAATAATTTATAAAAAAGGACGACTACTCAGGAAAAAATAATAATTGTATTTTAATTTCATTTCTAAAATAACAATTTTTTAACAGTCTTTTAATCCATTGTTTTTAAGAATATAAATTTCAATAAGAAATCTTTTCAGCATAATAACTTTTAAGTTTATTATGGAAGTGTCCATACAATACTTTATAAGAAATTCTCCTTAAAACAAAATTAATTGTCTTTATAGAAGACATAAGAAAGCTCTATTCTAAATTCTATGAAAATACCCTTGTATAAGATACTCTTTTGGGATATTCTTTTCGTTAAAAATTGCTTGGAATAGACATTTTTATCAATTATTGGAACATCCTTTTTAAATCCTTGTTTTTAAGGATTTTTTTATTTTATGCCAGAATATATCTTTTCAATATTTTTTTTTAAGGCGATGTACATAAAATTATGCTTTAGTTAGATTGATAATATTTTTCATCCTCTTCCAGGTGATTAAAAGATTTGAATGGTTTTATGTTTGCAATGTTATAGAAATATTTTTGCCTTTTATATAAGTACTCTTTTAGGTAAAAACATTTGGTTAAAAAATGTTTTGGCACATCGAAATTAATTTATTTCTTCTCATCTGAAAGAAATGATTTTTTCATAATATTGCACATAATGCCCATTCTACTAAGTCGCCTTTCCAGTTACATTAAAAAACATCTACCTCTTCTCCTCCCCTGCTCTTTTAAAAGTACTTTCTTCTGATCACCATTAAAATAATCTCCTACTTATACCCTCCAATTTATCAACCACAAAAAAGCATTATTCAATCCGTTTTCTTCCTTTATTTTGCCTCTTAGATTACGTGGTAAATTTTTCTTGGATACCAAAGGCGAATCGCCATTTGGTCGCAGTAATACGCTGGGTTCGGCATCCGCCTATAGAAGAGCATCAGCTGCACTGACATTGCTGCCATTGCAATGGGAGTTACAGCAACAAACACAACAACAACAACTTCAGCAGTTACAACATCAACAACAAAACAATTTGGTAATACAACAAAATGACACGTTGTTCGATATTGTGGCCCCAACAAAAACATCAGCAACAACACAGCCATCGCCATCGCCACCCACTACCACATCTACGGTGAGTGGGAGAACGAAACGAGCAGCACCACTATGGCTGGCAAATAAAGTGCCAAATGTTAGTGGCAGTAAAACTAATCTAGAAACGTGACAACATTTGCGAGGATAATAAAAGAAGTGGAAAAACAATAACAATGGCAGCTGCTGAAGTTAACATGCATTTACATAAATCCTCACATATATATTACCATAACACCATATTCCTCCTAGTCCTGAATTTTTAAATTTCATGTTATTTTTTATATTTTCATATTCATAAAAAATTCCAACAAATCTCAAAACAAAACATTTGAACAAAAAACCTAACAACACCTTTTAGTACATAAAGCACATAAGTCCAGTTATTATATATTTGCTATATAAGTAAAACTTAGAAAAAAAAACATTTTATTATTTTCATCATATACCCATGTTTGTCATTTTAAATTTTTTACTTATTGAAAAAAAAAGAAAAAAATTGTCAAAAATTGGACTTATCATATTTTGTACATTAGCCTAGACAGTATGACTATATGTATATTTAAATCTCATTCTAAAAATGCAAATTTTGCATCGCAACGCTTTAGAGTATTTGTTTAGTTTGTAGGTTAACAAAAAACAACAACCAGAGGAAGAAGAAGAAAACATTATTTATTGTATGTATGTTAGTATGTATTTTTTTATATATGTGTAAGTGTGTATCTAGTTACTGCATCTGATGATAATTTAATATCAAATGCATTCACTGTTCATTTGTATTTATAAAATACAAGGACATTACCATAGCTTTATAAATTGAAGAGTAAAAAATAAAAATATAAGAAATGAAAATAAAAGAATTATATAAAAATTTTGAATTGAAGATTTTATTACTTTTTCACTATGCAAAAGTCAGCAAATTCTTATTATTCAAAACATCTTTAATTGTCTGATGAGAGGGAAAAACAGGCCAGTGCCCTCTAATAAAAGTAAGCACCGTAAATATTTAACCCATATTCCTAACCGAATGAATGGTCAATGACTGGAAATATAAACTTTTATGACAAATATGCTTAAAAATGCTAAATTGGGTAATTAAACAAGGGGAGTTACCAGAAATAATTTATTATTTGTCTGGGAAAATAATTAAAATAGGGGACTTACAAAATTTTTTTTAACTAATTGATTCTGTATTCTCTCATTGAAGAGGTCATTATTTGGCAGGAAAAAATTTTTGTATTTCTGTATGTTAACAAATAATTCGTTTAAATTGCGTACTTCACTATGGGCTTGCCCCAATTTCTGTAGCCTGTGTATCAGGAAACAAGCTCTTCTTATACCCCGAGAATGTCATAACCCAACCACATATTAGACAAGGAACCTATATATAGATATTAATCGACGCCACTACAATTAAAGACGATCGTAGCCTTATTTTCAATAAAAAAAATAAATCTGATCATAGGTTTTTTCATTCATAGGTCCTAAAGAGACCTACTATATATGTATACTAATAAAAGAGTAAAGTGATTACTGATTGACTTAAAGATTCATCAACGCCCAGACGAACCGACTAAAGCTGGAATCTTGAAATTTTGGGCGAGAAGTACTAAATACGGTAAAATTTGTATTTGGCGAACTTAGAAATTTGGATTGATGGCCATTGATGAAGTGTGGGATATAGTGAAGTGTAGGATATAAGTATCCGAAAAGTACTAAAATGTACTAAATTTTTTACAATTTTGTAGCTTGAGAACGGATAGAGCTAAAAATTTGAAACTTGGAATGCTAATCAAGATTGAGAAGTAGGGTCGATATTAGGATATGGTTTTAGAAGTATGTAGTCATTTATACGAAAAGTACAAAACAGTATTAATGTTGGTATAATTTGAATTTGGAGGAACGGATGGTGTAGGAACCCTGAAATTTGAAATTAATATTACCGTCGGACTGTAAGATTGGGATATGACAAGACAAGTAACAAGTATTATATTTGGTACAATTTGGATTTAGAGTGAACCGATAGAGATGGAACACTGATATTTGCAAATAAGATTACTACTGCATTGTAAAATTGAGGTATGTTGTTAGTTTGGGAAATTCGTACTTATGTGTACTTCGGTACAATTTGAATTTTGGGTGAACCAATAGAGCAGGAATCCTGAAATTTTGGTTTAGGATAACGGTTGGTGTGTAGGATTGGGGTACGGAAGGATGTTTTGGAAATTTCTACCAATTTGGAAATGTTTACAAATGTATACTAATTGGCACTAATTTTGGAACAATATGGATTTAGATTGAACCGATAGATCTGGTATCCTGAAATTGAATAATATGATTTCCATTGAATGGAATGATGTAGAAGGGTAATAGGGTAATGGAAAGAGTATAGTATAAGGCTAGATTTCTGTTGAGGTCATAATTGGTGTGTAGTGTTACTAAAATTTTAATTTTGGTCGGTATTGGTTTTTAAATAATTCACACAAATTTTCAAATTAATTTGGTACACAATTAATAAATAAAAGAGTTTAGTTCTAAAAAATCAACAAAATTGGAGAGTTACTAGCCTTATTGAATACGGATTCAAAATTAGAAAAGTATTGATCAGTCCTGGAAATTAGCTTTATCTTCTTTGAGGAAAATGTTTGGAGTTATGTAATTACGACTTGTTTTTATTTCGTAGTATTCAATGGTCCTTTTAAGGGTTTCAAATGTTAACACGTTACTCTAGATGTACAAATCTATCGTATAAGCTAAGAAAATCAAATCGGTGAAGATTTTTTTGTGCGATGTTAATAATCTTAGTTCATACCTAGCCAGTACTTTTTCAAATTCCTTTGGTTTTTTTAATCGACAAGGTATTTAATTCTATTTTATTCTTTTTATTTTTTAGTTGAATTAAGGATTTTTATTTTTTTTTTATTTTTTTAATCGACGAGGTATTTAATTCTATTTTATTTTATACTATTCTTCGTTTTTATTTTTTAGTTGAATTAACGATATAGAATTATTTTATATAAAGCCATTTTTTATTTAATTATTTCACATTTTCATATTAATATATGGTCTTCGCTAAAAAAGTGAGCAAAACAATTAATAACTAATTACACATTTATATAACAAATTAATTTAATTATTTCTCAATTATTTTGTTTTTGGCCCCCTAAGATATGCAATATAGTTTTTGTGAGATTTACACCTGCGACACCATATAAATTTTTAATCATAAAAAAACATAATGTTAATGTACTTGTAATATAAAAAAATTAATAATAATAATTGATTGTTTATTAACCGCAAGCTATAATTAGTGATGATAATAATAACAACAGTAAAAAACTAACAAGTGAATAATACTACATAATATATTCATTAACAACACTACAAGGTACATTGTGTGTGGTATTTTTTTTCAAAATATTATTCCTTTAATTAATGCTGTATTCGTGTTGGCAAAAAATAAAAACCATCTTTCCTTTGACATTTTGTGTGCGTGCGTGTGTGAAATGTCTATTTAAAAAAATATATCAATTATAATTTGTCGCATTCATTTATATGTTAATGTATTTATAACCACACATTCATACATATTTTATACAGTTACTCTGATGGTCTCACACATTCGCACGGCCGTATTGTGTTGTTATATGGCCACACACAAAGGAGTAAACAGATGTGAGAGGGCAAAAAAAAAGGAATATGATCCGGTATGTTTTGCCTGTCAATACTTGTTAAAAAAATTAGCAATGCATGTCAAAGGAATATGAGAAGGTATGAACAACAGCACAACAACAAAAAAAGTAAAACAGGCAATGAGCAAAAGGAATAAAAAAACAACGTAGAGTGTTATATTGAGTGTGAGTGTGTGTTCACATAGCCAATCCATTTAAAATGCCTATATTTGATTGTGAGTGTACGTGTTTGTGCGTATGTGTGTGAAGTGTACATTATTGTCTGACATTTGAAAAGTCTGCCACTGTAAATGATATGACACTTAAGTGTGTAAATAGTAAGGAACATGTTTCTTATGTGCACGTATTCGCGTGTTTGTTTTCATTTCTATGTTTATATAGATGTTGTGTGTGTGTGTGTAAGTGTGTATCTGACAAATCGTATAAATATGAATAACAACATGTTTAACAAAGTCTCCTTGTTGCTGCTGTATGTGAAATTCAAGTAGGGTGTATGTGTGTGAGGAGAAAACAAGAACACATTGAGATTGGTTTGGTGCATGTGACAGGGGATAAACTGAAAATGATTGATTGATTTATGTCTTGTATGCATTTGACGTTGGGGTGTAATGTATCCTCCATCTTTTTGTTTTGCTATGTCATATAACCTGTTTTTTATTCCAATATCCGAAAGAAGATGTGTTCTAGCTCTGGGGGTGAGAAATTAAAGAGGTTAAGGTTAGCTCGAAATATATTAAGTTATCGTTATCAAATGTTGCTTTCTTTTTTGTGTGTGATGTGCTACTAAATAGGTTTGCCCGTTTCTTGACATCATCATTAAAAATGTGTCAAAAAATTGTTAAATCATTTTTAATATTTTAAAATTTTGGTATTATTGAAAAGAGGTCTACGTATGTCGTCACATATCCAGCTTCAGATATATTTTGTTTTGATCGGGAAGGGAGAAGTTCGCTCTGTGCGTCCACAAGAGGATTTCCATTTTCTGTTACAAAAAATCGATTTTTTTCGATTCAAAACTATAACTAAGAATGTCTTCAAGGGATGATTTCAACAGCCTGAGAGCTGATTCAAAAATATGTCATTGAAGGAGTTCATATGTGTAGGGGATCTGATTTTTACTATGGACAATCTATGAATGACTTGTAGGACCATTTTATTTTATATTTTCCCATCATAACAAATCAGTTATCCGTGAAGAAAATCCTTCCCACAAGTTTCCTTTATTGCCAATTTGAAATGCGTCAAATTGACCCTATTGACCCCTATTTTCATTACCATTATTATACTGTAGTTTATTTTATTTTGTATTAAATGAAAATCTGCATGGCAATTTTCTAACTAGCCTAACCGAAAAAAATTGCCCCGATATTATGACAACTTGTTTTTGCAATTTGCCTT